TGACTAATGTTACGCTAACGAACATTATGTTAATCTAGATTATGTTAATCTATGCTTACTTTTCATAACACAAGTTATTTTACTTTAGTGTGCAGGGTGTCAGTATTTACAGTATCTGTGGTGGCCTGAAGTTGTTAAAAGTCCTAGCAGTCAGGGTTTGACTGGGGCTCATGACTCTGTCTGTCTTCATCTGCCTCAAACGTCATGCAGAGATGAAGCAATACTGCAAATGAAACAGTTCATTAATTGCTTTTTGTTGCTTTGGACGATTTCACTTTGCATAAGCAAGCCTGAGAGTGAATCTGTAAAATTCTGACAATAAGACTTTTGTAACACCATTGTTATAAATATTAATATTATATTATTTAAATATAAATATGGCCTTCTGTACATTAAAAAAAATATCATTGCTGTGTCTTTGTTAAATACACAACTACATATTTACTGTAAAGGAACAAGTAGTAAGTTTAATTCATGCTGAAAAGAGAAGGAAGAAAACACAACGTTTTGGCTGTGGAGCCTTCTTCTCACACCTGAAGAAGGCTCCACAGCCGAAACATTGTGTTCTCTTCCTTCATTTTTTCAGCATGGAATAAACCTATTACTTGTTCCTTTGCAGCCTATGCATGCTGACGCAGCTGCCCACCTGAACTACATATACTGTATTTGTTTGTTGTTTTATGTTTTATATTAATACACACAAGGAAAACATGCTTTGTGTTTGCAGAACTGGAAATAAGTGCTTTGTAAAAAAAGAATACTGTCCTGTTGTTGCTTGACATTAAGGCACAAAGTCCAGATGTAGCTGTAGTTACATTGTGCACTCAACTTTTGCCACTGCAGTTCAGTTCTCCATGTTCAGAAATATACGTTGATGCCCATTAGCAGCTTTGAGGGAAAAAATCAAACATTTTTTGAGAGTTTATGTGACAGACTGACACAGCTCTGGAAAAAAAATGATTCAATTATATTATTGAAGAAGAAGTTCCATGTCAGTCAGTTCTCTCTCTCCCTTTTCATGTTCTTTTTCTTCAGAAAACTACAGCTAGAGCTGGAAAAATGTTTGTTACATAGTGAAAGTTGGGTACCCTAGAAAGAAATGAGGTACTGCACACTGCTATATCAGCATGTGAAAGCAAAAATGTGATTTGCATTCAGTGCCTTGTGTAAGTATTCATAACCTTGCGTGGTTTTCGTGTGTTTTATTTGAAGTTTAGTCATTGCACATTAAAGTGGCAGTGAATATTTGTTACATACAAGGCCTACTTCATGCATTCAAAGCAAAAAACAAAAAGAAGTGAATAGATAATTAATATGATAGAATAATCAAAAAGTCCTGATTGCATAAGTGTCCAAACCCTTTGCTGTGACAAACCTAAAGTAAAATAGGTGCAGAAAATTACCTGCATGAGCCTCATGTTTAATTCAATTTTTGTTGCCAGTGGTGCTTCCACCTGTTGTGTTGAGTGATTTATTGAGTTCAGGGGTCCAAATACTTGTGCGATCAACATATTTTGATTTTTTCTTTTTTAGTTTTGCTGAAATTAGTTGTCACTTTTCTTACCCTTAAAAGTGTGTTAAGATTGAGCTTTCAGTTTTTTATATATTCATTTTTTTAAAATGCAATATTTTGTATTTTCGCAAAATGGGACACTATAGGAAGGGTCTGAATAATTTTGCAATACACTGGATACAACAATAACCACTTTGTCCTCCTAAAAATACTACAAGAAAAGTTTAACCTGTTTGCCTTTTTTTTCAATGTAAACATTGAAGAAACTGTCATGACCATATGGCAGTGCTTTGAGTTGTGCTGTATACTGTATTTCCTACTGATTTCCGTGATGCGTGAAATATTTTGTGAAAGATACATTGTTTACTCTGAACTGATTCCAGTCGGTTGGTTTTGGGGATTCTTTGGTTGAGGTTTTCCATGCTGCTAAAGTTAAGTTCCGGTTTGGAATAAGCCATTTAACTATAGGTAGATTTTACAGGGACATGCAGATCGTTAAAATGAAATGTGGATTGAAGGAACCTTTATAATTACCACATTCCCCTTTAAGCACTGTGTTTTCCATCATATTTTTATGCCCTGATTTTTAAATAATGTATTCAGGCTGGAGGTATTAACTCAGGGCGCTGGTGAGGATCCAAGCCTTCAGGACAAGTAAATATTGACACCATAAGGGAGGCAGCTTTTCCTTCTTCATTCAGCAGAACAGATTAATACTAATCCTAAACCTTCGGATCTATCACTGCTTAGGGGAAGCAGTGGGAGACCCTGAAGCCAGAGATCTGTAGTGTAGATGGATGTCAGAAATGCCCTGAGATCCCAGGCTTTTGATCTGTGTAGGAGTTTTATTCTGAAAGCCTGTTAGCTGCATCGCATTTTTTTTAACGTATAACAAGTTAAAATGCCTGCAGTGTGATTCCCTTTCCATCCTCTGCAATTCTAATTAAAAAATAACGGGACCAGATACACTTTTTCCCCTTCATTGTGATTGAAATTCAGCTGTTCCGTGGCGAAGCACAGGCAAGGAAACGCTAGCGGAAGATTGTCATGTTTTAATTGTTTTGAACCTTGCATTCACATCTGGAAGTATTGTTCTTGGAAGACAGGTCATTACCCATCCAAACCAAAAAATAACATTTAGCAGTAATGAAACAAGCTTCCTTGACAACCACCGTGAAATTCTGCCCAGGCTTTGACAAATATTTCTTCTGAGAACAAAGAAGATCTGAGATTAGGTGGAGCATGCTAGGTTTCTGTGTAGGAGCATACTGTAGCTCTTCCAGCTGGTATTTACAGCACTCAATTGAAAAAGAGAGGAATTTCGTAGGTATACCTAAACAGTACATATATGGACTGTCATTGTTGTGACACCTGGACACCTTAGTGAAACACAACTGTACATAGAAGCATTAGTGTAAAAGCTAAACATACATTTCTACATTCAGAATGAGGAACAACAGGAAATCTCACAAATTCTTTAACCTTAACACTTTAAGATGCTAAACATTTAACATTAAGTTTGAACATGAAGATAATGAGAAGGGCTTGACAGGAAAGCCAAAAAAGGAGTGATGGTTAAGATATCATATGGTTACCCTAGCCACCCGGTCCAGCCATACAGTTTGCAGTCATATAGTGTAGAGGCAGGGCTGAGACAGACTAGACAGAGTGCGTGTGGCTGTGTTTGATACTGCAATGAGAAATGGCTGCAACACACGGGAGCTGGCAATGTCTCAGGACATGGTTGTACGTGGCAGCAGTTATCGGTTTCTATGGTTAATTATGCAAATGTGGAAGTTTAAATATTTTGTAGTTCCTTTGTGGGGAAAACAAGGGAGGGGAGGACCCCCTGTGAATATGAAAGTTTCAAGGGGAACAACCACTCCCCAGACTGACAAGTTGTTTATTTCATGTCCTCTTTGGAATGGTACCAGACGCTGGTGACACATGATACCACAATGCCACAATGTGCTCTATTGCACCTTCTATTGAGTAGGCTAATGCATTTCATATAAATCCGTATTTTCTGCAGATTGCCTTTTCTTCCTTGCTCTTCAGAATGATTCTCCATTCTGTATCTGTGGTGTTATCCTCGAGTTAAAAAGAAAAAAGAAACTCTGTCTAAAAAGATGTCAAATTCAAGGCTCCTCCATTTTTTGAAGGGCAGTAACGTGTGGAAAAAAGAATACACAATAACCCTTTGTTGATGCAATTTAAGTGTTTTGCGTTTTGATGACAGCTGTAAATATTCCTTTTCGCCTAGGATGCGCGCGGTTACGATCGGGGACCAACAGCCTGGGCTCTGTGAGAATATATCAGCCTTAGAAAAATCAAGTCACTTCGATTAACATAAGAAAGAACACTCTTGGGCAGTCAAGAGACGTCCTTTTTTCTTTTTCTTTTTTACTACCGTGATATCGTATTGCACTTCTACAAAGCCGGGATTAACCCGAGGTAGAAGAGTCAAGAATTACTTCACCTTGCGTAGGTGGGACGCTTTGCTTAAGTGGGGTATTTGAAAATGGCAGCAAGAGGTATGTTTATATATTAAAATGAGAATGAGATAAGATGTGCCGTGGCTTTGTGGAGTGCCATGGTCTGAAGAAGACACCGAAGAGGAGCCAAATAAGAGCAGAGCTACAGTAGCGCAGTCATTTTCTTATGTGAATAAAACTAATGCTCACTAATTCACATGTCATATATCTAATGAACAGAAAATATTGTTACTTCTCCCTTTTTAATTAAGTAACATCGGAATGCTAAAAAAATCAATTACACAATTAACATGTAGCGGCCTAAATGATGCTAAATTAGTGGTGGTGAGTGTCAGAAACGAAATGGAGAACTAGCCGTTCAAATTCTATGCACTGCATGTAAATTTACGGAAAGAAACAGGGCATTAAAATTTGAATTACATGTTGAACTGACATCTGACGCTTCTAGATGTGGAACAAATTTATGCAACCATGTGGGTGGAAAGTATTTGTCGAAAGTTAAGATTGCCAAAAGCAGAACTTTTTTTTTTCCATGTGAAAGCATGATGCATGTACAGTCCTCGTGTTTCATAAACACGCTCAGTCCAGTCGGTTTAAAAAGAAACCGTGTTGTCCCCATGTTTTAATTCCTCTCTGCCTTTTCTTTGTCTTGTTTTTTCTGGCTTGCATGTTACTGTACAGTATGTGCATGATGTGCTCCTGGCTCAAGAGTCTTCCAATGAAGGGGTCGTGCGCAGTTGTTTTTTTGTTTAGATCCCTTCAGCCCACTGGACTGATCAGGGTGTCGTTGCAGCGAAAGGGCACCTCTGTCTGTGCCTTTTTCAGGGGCTACTCTGGCGGGGAGCGAGCCGCAAAAGCACGTCGGGGTTGAGCTGTTGAATCTTCGTCCACGCTGCTGGCTGGAATGGGAGAAGCTCCGCGGGGTGAGAGGGGGAGTGATGTCAGCCCTGCTGTAACGCGATCTCCTCTGTTTTGTTTTCTTTCTGTTTCAGGGTGTGAGCGGAATGTCCGTGAATGAGAAGCCTGAATCCCCCATGTATGTGTATGAGTCGACAGTTCATTGTACCAATATCCTCCTGTGCCTCAATGACCAGCGGAAGCAGGACATCCTCTGTGATGTGACCATCGTAGTGGAGGGGAAGGAATTCCGGGCTCACCGAGCTGTCCTGGCAGCCTGCAGCGAGTACTTCTTGCAGGTCCTGGTGGGACAGACCGAATATGAGCTGGTTATCAGCTTGCCTGAGGAGGTATGTCCCGTGAGCAAAGTTACAGGGTTACCACCTCCTGAGATGCCCCGTCCCCGTCCCCTTTTGCTGTGTTGCCATTGTTGTAAAACTGTTCTTTCTGCGTTCAGTTTTTTTTCCTGCAGTGTGTCCTCCAGTCATTTACACCGGACACGGATACATGTTAGGCCAAATGAGACACTAGGTAGCAAGAAATTGGGCAAAGGAATGTGATTTCAACAGCCCCACCTGCTTTCCTACTGTATGTCGTTGGTTAGGATAAACAGGTTTATTGGGATATGAGCCGAACTTATGTATAATGTATAATATTTTGTTTTTAGTGTGACACACTGTGAGGTTTACACTGCAGAATCCATTGATGTGATCTTCATAAAACATTAGTAAAATAAAAAATCACAAAAGGCATCTTATTCACAAAACTCAGAGAATTGTTACACTGACTTGGACATTTGTTTTTTCTAAATAGTGTGGCAGTTATTTTGGCTATCAAAGTTAGATTTGTGTACATTTTGCCACACTCAGACAATCTCAGACAAATAGGCATCTACTGTACCTCAGAAAGTGTCGCTAATTCTGCTTGAAATATTTGAATAGTCTTTCTGCCTCTTTGTATTCAGATAGAAGAGGCTTTGATTAAAAAGCACTGATTAAAAAGTGTTTAATTCTGTATTTACACAAGGCATTGCTCAAATATTTAATCACTTTATTACAACAAAAGACTGAAGCATCATCATTCATAGCTGGCACCTGACTTCCTCTGTTTAAAAGGATAATTTAATCAAGCATTTAATTTATGATAAGATAATAGCAAAGAGGTGAAACTTGTCGATGAAATATAATAGGTGAATCTCACTGGCAATAACAGTACAGCTGGCAGTGTTACAATCACCAATTAACACCTTCTGCAATAAAGCTGAGTAGCACTTATTTCATGCCATCTCTTTCACAAGAAAACCTTTTATTTTCTGCACTGCTCATCAGACATAGTCCTTTTGTGTTCTTGCAAAAAATGTGATTTATGATCCCATGGCAGTTTGAAAGTGACATAAGATTTGTCTTGGAGAAACAGAACAGGTAAATTGTATGATGTAAGTGTTTGGTGGAACACAGCCATAAAAGTATGACTAAAGCCATTGTGTGCACAAGGATAGTATTCCACGTCTCAGCTGCACACTGCGGACAGTTTGGAATTGTTGAGAGGAGCTCCAATGAATGGAAGATCTTCGTCTCTTCAACTCTCCGACAGAGATTCAGCTTTCTGCAGTTGAAGTCAGACTGCCCAGTGGCACTGAACCATCAGTGTTTAATTTAAAAAGAATCTGAGAAAGTCACCATCACTGGTCTCAACACTTACAGTACAGTACGTGGCCTGCAAGAGGATAAGCTGAGATTGAATTCTGAGGTTATATTTTGGTTCATAAAATGGGGAAAAGATATTGCATTTATAACTTAAAACAATTTAGAACCACAACATAGAATTTTAGTTCTGGTGTCATTAATTCTATTTGCTGTGGATTTGTTTGCTTTTCAGTACTTTTGTACCTAATAACAAAGTGTTTTCACCTAAAGACCTAAAGTAGTGTTTAGCAGTAATGTCTGTTTAAGATGTATATTCGCACTCTGCTGCTGTATATATATATATTCAAATGAAAACCCAACACAACACCGTTAACACCATCCCTACTGTCAAGCACGGTGGTGGCAGCATTATGTTATGGGGCTGCTTCTCATCAACAGGGACTGGGAAACTTGTCAAGACTGAGGTGAAAATGGATGGAGGAAAATCTGTTTTAGTCTGCTAATGATCTAAAAGAATGCTGGGAATTTGCATTTCAGCAGCATAATTGCCCATAGCACATGGCCAAAGCTACACTGGAACGGCTTAACAAAAGCAAAGTAGTTGTGTTTTAAGCGGCCCAGTCAAAATGCTGACTTGAATCTGAAAATCAGTGGCAAGACTTGGAATTTGTTGCCCATCAACAGTCCCCGTACAGATCAGATCAGATCACTTAATTGGCCATGTACAATTTCTTGTATTAGGAATTTGTCTTTTCGCGTACCCCAGCTTGCTCTGCATGACACACACAGACAGGGAGAGAAGCTTGGGGTCAGAGCGCAGGGTCAGCCATTTATACGGCACCCCTGGAGCAGTTGGGGTTAAGGGCCTTGCTCAGGGGCCCAACAGAGTAGGATTCCTCTGCCAGCCGCGGGATATGAACCGGCAACCTTCCAGCCATGGGCGCAGATCCCATATGACTTTACAGAGTTTTAGCAAGTTTGTAAAAATAGAATAGGTGCAATTTGCACAGTGCACCATGCTGGTGTGCAGATTTGGCAGAGACTTGCCCATAATTTTGCAATTCTAGTTCCTGCCAAAGGTGTTCTATTAAGTATTGACTCAGCAGGGTGAATATGCAATTTAAATATTTTAGTTTTTCTATTTACTTTTTCCATTTTTGCTGATATTTAGCTTCTTTCATTCATAAAAATGTTATGTTTTAGCATTCCAATTTCAATTAAAAATATACACTTTAGTAAATTTCAATTGTAATTCAACAAAAGGGGACATTGGAAGGGAAAAGGTAGTTTTGCAAGGCACTGCAAAAGGGACATATAGCCAGGCTGCATCATGAGATGCATGGAGTTTTTAGTTTTTGTTTTAAAATGATGCACAAGTTGTAGGTATTGTTCTTCATTACACACAAATGTGAGTCTGTTTTGGATATATCATTATTGAAAAAAAATCTACCTATTGTGAGTCTGAGAGTATTGTAATCTCCCTTCTTAAGCGGTTATTCTTAACTTGTGAAAGCATTTGCTTCAGTGTCTGCTGTGTGTGGAAAAGGGAGATATCTGACACATTAATAGGAGGTTAAAAATGTGTCTTCTGTGTGCTAATGAATGGTGAGAAATGCTGAATAAAGGGCTCAGAATAAATGTTACATTCAGCCAGGTCTAATGCTTAACTAACATTTCCAGATCAAAACTAGAGTGCACTATTTGTGGCAGTTTAGCAGAACACAGTATTTACTATACTGGTGCTGTGATTAAATTATTCTTGTGCAGGCAAGAAGTGTCATCTCACAGCAAGGGGGAATATAATTTAATGATATCATTGCTCACGTTGTTAGGTGCCCTGTCACTTTCTCCTTTTTAGTCATATCTTCAAAGCAGCATAAATAACCTGATGTAGCTAGGATTGTGGCAGGTGTGCTGTTGCTATGGACATCCTCCTTGAGACTGAAGTGCCTTTAATGGAAAGCAAGTCCCAGATGGGTAGATCTGACCTCCTGTCAGTTTGATGAGGCAGTAGGTCATATGCTTCGAGGACCTCATTAAAGTGCAGCAGTGTTGTTCAGTGTGGGCATGCCTGGTTACACTAGGGCAGACTGGTCAGTGTGCAGTGTGCTGTACAACACCGTCACCTTTTTTATAAGACAGGGTAACAAGGATCAAAGAGAGCTGCTCACTTCTTTTTTTACAACCTACAGTGCGTTTTTCTTTTTCTTTTGGCTTTAGAACACAGGAGCTGCAACTACTGCATGTGTAACTGTCCCCAGTTGAAATGCGAGACAGACAATTCATTCATTGATCAGCCTCCGGGGCTACATACAGTGACATCATCTATTCCTGACTTATCCACTCCAATGGGAGCCTGGTAATCTAGGCATCGTTGTGACTGAAGTGACCCTTTCTGCTGTTTTCATACGTAATTGTTGACTGGTGAAAGGAGTGTTTGTGTCTTGTTTGGGTTTTTTCTTTGAATAAGAATATGAGCTGGCAAGCAAACTGCAGTAGAGAATGATTTTGAGAGTTCTAATAGACAGGATTTATCTCCTTTTCCTTGACTTTCTCCTACTCAAAAGGAAAGAATAAGGAGAGGTCTTAATGAATTGTTTTTGACCTTTTTGTATATCATTGTAATGCTACAGTACAGTTGACTTAGAGTTTTCAATATTGCCCTTCAGATAACTGTTTTGCACTAGAGTGCCATAGTTCTATAAGGTTATTTCATTTATAAGGTAAAAAGATTGGTTTTATTCAGTAGCAATACTCCTCTTGCTTATATACCTTGTGGAAAGTCATATTTAAAACAAAAACATCACAAAAAGGAGGTTTAAAACATTTTCCCAGAAAACATCTTAATTAGGATATGAAGAAAGGTAGTTCATTATTGCACTTTCAGAACGTAAATATAGCAATCTGAAAATAGTTGGGGTGCCAAAATGTGACAAGAGGAAAACCTTTCTTTCAGGTATGGTGAAACAAGATTTTTTCCCTGACAGAGCATTTTAAAATATGATTGACCTACTTGTGCTGGGAGCTCTGTGTATTTGCAGGCTTTGCTAATGAGTGCTTTATCGTATACTGTAACTGTGAACTAGAGCATTTGAGAGCATTGCTTCAGCATCTATTTGAAGTGTTGACTGCACTCCTTGAATGGTATTAAAGGGTGCAGCATGCAGAGTTAACTGACTGTGCAATATTGATGCATCTGCTGGGTTTTCTGGAATAAAGATGAAAACTTCTGTTTTAGTGAGCTCGCTCTCACTACCTCTTCCAGGTAAAAAAAAAACAAACAACCTTACATCCTGCCTCTTGAATGAGTCATTCGAAATACTTCTTTAGGAGTAGTTTTTACTTGGCAAGTTGTATTTTTCTCTCCTTGTAAAGAATTTATCCAAAATATTAAGAACTAGGGCTAGAAGGTTTCTTTGTTGATTGGTGAGAGCATAAAGCACCTTTATCCGTACTGTACTATAGCTAAAATAACAATAATTATTTCATTCTGGAACAAGCTTAGTAGCTTGTACATTTGTGCCCTAATTAAACAGTTGATTGTTTCACCTTGTTTGTATCTGGAACACTATTGACAGGTGGTGTTGATCACTGTTCCCCGGAATCTCATATTTCACTCCTCCAGTCACCTAATATTCAATATCTGGTTGTATGTCATTGCACTCAGCTATTTTCACCTCACGTGTTTTTGCACGAGATCTGCTGAGACATATTATTTCAGCATAAATTACCTGCATAAATGTATACTCGTTGGAAAAACAAAACAGTAGCATTGAATGGTTTTCACAGTTTTTAGGAAGTACCAACATGCAAGTGATTTCTCCTAATTAGGATGTAGATATTGCAATTACTGTTTAAATGGACATGTATTGCTGGAAAATCACAGATAGCTTGAAGCCATAAATATAACCAATACTGGTCAACTTGGGAATAAGTACCCATTTATTAAGTGAATTTAATGCCCATCAAGCAGATTGCATAACACTTGTAGATCTTGGTAGACAGATGGCATCACCCAGCAGTGCAGTCTCCATATACCCACTCTGGGAGTTTGGGAATGAGTGAGGACCTGGTACTGCTATATTTACTGCAGACAAGCATCTCGGCTGTCATTCTCACGCAAAAGGTCGCAAATTGTTCTTCATGCTGAGCCAGACCTCATTGGGACCTTTGTCTGTGTTCTCATGAGCAGCTAATTAGATCACGTTGAGCATCTCAGAGAAACCCTAGCGCTTCAGCATGTCTTCTGCAAAGTGACCTGCTGGGGTGTGCATTTTTAATGTGCAGCTCCTCTTCAGATCATAACACCTTTACTGTAAGATGCTCAGCGACCAGGTGAGGAGAAGTATAAAGATACCCACTTTTTAAAAAATAAAAGTGTGCCACAATCTTGTTAAATGCAGATATTGTTTCACAAAGGAATGCGCCTTACCAAAATATTAGACAACTGCATTCCAAGGACTTGGCCGTCGAGCCCCATGTAGTGGGAAAAGCCCTGACTCTTGGGGACTGATGAGCGGGATAGAGGACAGACGATGCCAGCAGCCATATCACCCTGCAACTCCCAACTGGCAGCCCACTGAAGCTCAACAGGTGTGAGCCTGGTCAGTACCTGGATGGGAGACCTCCTGGGAAAGGTTGCTGCTGGAAGAGGTGTTAGTGGGGCCAGCAGGGGGCACTCACCCTGCGGCCAATGTGAGTTTTATTGCCCCAGTATAGTGAGGGGGACACTATACTGTAAAGAGACACTGTCCTTCTGATGAGATGGAAAATTGAAAAGAGTAGGGATTTTACCCCAGTGTCCTGGCCAAATTTCCCCCTGGCCTTTACCAATCATGGCCTCCTAATAATCCCCATCCCTCAATTGGCTGCATCACTCTGTTCTCCTCCCCACTGAGAACTGTTACTATTATTATTATTAATTTATAATAGTAATATCATCATCATCGGCTGCTGGTGAACAGCCTCTGTTCATGCGTCATTGGGTTGACAGACAGTGAACTGGAGGCTCAGCTAAGGTTTCAAGAAACAACTGAACCACTACCAAAACCTCAAGCAGTGACATCACACCATGCTTCTGGTCTGTTGCTGAAAGTAACAACAGATGTGGCTAATGTGCCAATTCAGACAGGCTGTAGTGTTTATTGGCAGTGTTTGGTAGCTAAACCAACGAAACATGAAGCAACAATTCAGAGCTGCCTCAACTGTTGTTTGCTGAGAGGTCCCAATTATAAGAGGTCTCTTATAATTGTGTCTTTAATATTTTGTGTTAATACTGGACAGTATGTCTTGTCTAATATTTAGGTAGGTAAATACATTCTGTACATTAAGATGTGTGATTGTGTTGAAGTAAAACAAAGATATTATCACAAAAGCTGCTTTTTGGATTTGTTAAGATCAATGGCTGTACAGTATGTGCACGTACAATTACATATACAGTATTATACTGTGTTTGTGTGTGTGTCAAGCATTGCTGAATTTAATGTTTTGTCCCTGAAAAGGAATTACTTACAGTATTCATAATATGTAATGGAATTGACAAGAGTTTTTGTGCACTCATTATTCCCTCAGCAGGAAATTGCACTGTTCAAAACTATTCTAAAGGTGAGGCAGCCTTGCTAATTAAAGCTGTCTACAGAGTCTATAGTACATACACAGGGCTTTTCAGGCATACTAGTACATTGAGCAAAATGTGTTTGGAAGGAAGTAAGGGAATGGTTAATGTATAATGTGGTAGGTATCCAGAAAGTGAAAAGTATGTAAGTAAGTTCTGTATGTTGCTTTTATGATTCCCAGTGTGCCTGTTAGGTCACTTGTGGAGATCTTCTAGATAAAATGTCAGATACACTGGCCTTGAATGAAAATAGCTTATATTTATTGACAACCTGTATTTATACTGATGTTGTGGATTTTATTTATTTTCCAAAAGGCCAATTTAAAAATGAAAAGGGCAGAAAAGAAATATAACCTTGTCCACTAACAAGTTTACATTACTCTGATGCGGGGCCACATGGATGAGTGTATTTAAAAATGAAGATTCGTGTGTCAGCAAAAATCAGTTTTACAGTGCATTTAATGAACTCTAGAAAGGCACAGATGCTTTTTTTCTGCAGAAGAAATAGCATGATTGTCGTGGCCTGTGTCATTAGAATGCATGACATGTAAGAATATGCTGAAGCACATTTACATAAATTAGCTGCTTCTGTTACAGAAGCAAAGGCCATTGTAAGAGTAGAGGATTTCTTGGGAGAGGGTAACATTATGAGCTTATTTGTAGGGAGCTTGGCAGCATTCCTGAAAATGGTGTGTAAAATATGAAGATCTGTAAAGTATTATATGCATACAGTTTCCTGTGCTGTAATGATATCAGTTTGGCAGACAGAGAGCAATGCAATCTCAAGCCCACAAGCTTGCATTAGCATAAAATGTCCCAGATCTGTCAGTTTGATTAATTTGTCTCTTTGTCTCCACTCTGTACAATAAGTGCTATTAACAGCTGAAACACTTCATATGTCAAAGTCTCTGCTCTAATGACTAGAAATTGTGGGTTATTTTGTACTTTCCAGTGTTATTTCTTTCATTTCGTATTCCTTTCCAGTAAAGATTGTGTTTCTCTCCCTGTGCCGCGATCCTTCATTAGCTTGCTGGTTGTAACACTAGAGTAATCGCATATGGTGTAGGATACACATAAAGACGTGATCCCACGGGCAGCAGCTGCTGATGCAAGCTGAAAATAGATCCAGCGTGCGCTCAGCACTTTTCCCCAAGCTCTTCTATTTATTAGTAACATTCTCAGCACAGGAGAACTCAAAGCCTTGTTTAAGCAAAATGACTTTCACCTCCAATGACAGTGCACCGGCTATTGTTATTGCGCTTGTGAACTGATAGATGTTAGCACGTTTTATAGCATTATGAACCAGGGTGTTCTTGATCTACATTTATATTGCTTTACGTTTTTATTTCAATTTCATAAAAAAAAGAAGTCCCTGTCACTATGCTCGTACAGCTGGCTTCCTGCCCAGCTGTGGGTAGGGACTTGTCTGTGGGACACAGGGAGACAATGCTTGGAGTGCATGATACAGTTCTCCAGAGGTAATGCACTGTGATACACCCACCATCAGGGGTCCCTGTTTCCCAAACAAATAACGTGCGCTTTGCAACCATACAATTACACACAGACCTCGTTTAGTAGAAAGACACTCGCTGTTTTTGTGTTTTTGTCTGCCAGAGGGGACAGGCAGGACAACTTTAGCTGGGGGATCTTGGAGGATGAGGATCAGATATACTGTAGATTAGTCAGGCAGCTACAGTGGACTTGGCAGGCACTTGTCATTATGCCCCTGAATTACAGTAGCTGTAGTCTGGCAAGGATGTTGTAAGGGAGTTTCCTCGGCCGAAGACAGTGTGTTAAATTATTATGTAAGGCACCCTCGATCCTGTCTGCCAGACTTGTGGCCTTGGAAGTACATTACTGTAAGGAGCAGAGTGACCTGATTTTGTATTTGAGTGCATGCTTCCCTGCAATTCAGTGTTGAATACTGGAAATAAAACCGAATCATTCAAATGCGTTTACCTAAAGAACAAAATGAGTTGGAAAATATGGAATTTAATTTATTGCCAGTTCTTGACTTTCACATGACAAAAAGTTTAGTTAAAGCTGCATTTCGACAGTCTAGAGTCTCCAGACAAATTTTCATGCCAACATGGGTCTACTTATTTTTGGATTCATAACAATAACAAACAATAATGTAAAACATCAGCTTTACAGTTTTGTGCAACAGATGTATACAGTGTGTTCCCACATGTGAAATAAGTTTTTTAATGATTAAAATGAGAAATAAAAAAAAAATTCAGTTTTACAGAGTGGGTTTTTGATATCGACCTCTTAGGCTGTTACTATCCTGATGGTGGGAAATATTCTCATTTGATTGTGTTTAACTTAACATTAAAATAAAGTACCAGTAAATACAGAGATATATTTGGTCCTTAAAAACTTGTTGTTCCTTGCATTTTTTCTTTGTACTTTATACACCCGTATGTTTCAGAAATTCATATTTTAAAGACACCTTATTTGATTTTTTGGAACATGGAATGAATAACATTTTCTCTTCATTGCAACACTAAAATAATTTAGTACTTTGTCAAGACCTTTAGAAATTCTCAATATTAGACCTTCAGGTCTCACCATCATGAATTACAATTGTAGATCTTGACATTGCTGGTCAGGATCAAGTAGGCATTGTCATGACTTTTTCTGAGAAGTCTCAGATATCCTGCCCTGTACAATATTAACTAGTAACAAAATTGAGACAGCGGGAGGTTGAGGAATATCGGTGGGTAATTAATACGGGTGATTCGATTCAAGAATGGGAGCGACTCAATATTAAAAAGCCGAAAGTTATATCTTAATATAAAGATATTAAAAAGGGTTATTATGATGAGAATAGGTTACACAAAGCCAGACACTACTGAGCTGCTGTGCTAGTTTGTATTTACTCTGGGACAGAATGTGGGGTGCTGACCTGATGAAAGATTAACTGATACTTTACAGTGTTTGTTTATAGACATTAGACCTGTCGGGTTATCTCACCACACTTGAAAACTCCAGAACAATAGCACTGCTGATGGTAATGCTGCCCATGTCCGTGTTTCTTTGCAGGTCACTGCCAGGGGATTTGGCCCATTGTTGCAGTTTGCGTACACTGCGAAGCTGTTACTCAGCAGAGAAAACATCCAGGAGGTCATCCGCTGCGCAGACTTCCTGCGCATGCACAACCTGGAGGATTCCTGCTTTCGGTTCCTGGAAGCCCAGCTCCTGAGCGAGGAAGATGGTCTGCTCCTCTGTCGCAAAGTGGCTCCCTACCCCCAGTCCCAGGAGGATGACAACTCGGAGGGGGAGGACGTGAGCATGCAGTCGGAGACCACCAAGATCACGTCGCCCAGGGCCAGAGTTTGCACAGAGCCCCTGGACTTCAACAAGTCATCCAGGCTGCTGGATGAGGACAGGCTAGCTGTGCCCATCCCTGGCGGCTTTCAGGATGGCAGGGTGGACTTTGAAAAACAAGGGGGTTCGGACCTTCCTCGCTGTCCCAAGTACAGGAAATACCAGTGGGCCTGTGCCAAGCACAATAATGACAGCTCCTCACACACCAGTACCTCAGGTTTTCCAAGCACATTCAAGGAAAGCAGCTCCAGCAGCAACAGCAGTGCCCACGTACCAGGAAGGCTCACGCTGGGACAGATAAAGAACGAGCCGCGCGCAGAGGAAGAGACCATCTCCCTGTGCCTGTCGGGAGACGAGCAAGACATGAAAGAGAAAGATGGAGTGTCGGAGATGGAGATGGATGGGAAGCAGCATAGCTACATGTTTGCGGACGGACCTAAAAGCAAGTCACCTACGTGTTTGAGGTCCCTCATCAGTAAGAACATTGAACTGGTGAGCCTGCCAAACACACCACAGCAGCTTTATACCAACAGACTGGCCTGCCCCCAAGATACTCAGGTTGACCACAAAAAGGACTATGGGCCTTTCGCTGGGGAGCTGGGGCTGCCTGTGGCATCTCCTAAGGAGGTTGAGGAATTATCATTAAAGACCACCTCGTGCGACGGGGTCTGCAAACAGGAGTCGGAGCTCGACCGCAGGAGTGTCATTTTCTCCTCAGGATCGTGCGATCGCCTGGGAACTCCAGCGCATTCCTATCCTGGGGGGAACTCTTTGGAAAAAGACCTCTCGGATCACATGCCAAAGAGCCTCTGGACTGGCGCGAGCCAGTCCCTCCCCTGCTCCCAGACCTACTCCCCCGGCGGGGTGCCCTCAGAACCCATGCTGCCATGTCGGTCGCGCCCGGTCACCAGCTGCCCCGTGCCAATCAAGGTGTGCCCCCGCTCTCCCCCCTCAGAAACGAGGACGAGGACTTCGAGTTCCTGCTCTTCCTACTCCTACGCCGAAGACGGAAGTGGGGGCTCCCCCTGTAGTTTACCCCAGTTTGAGTTTTCCTCCTCTCCGTGCTCCAACGTAGCACGGTGCCTGACTGTCGATCAACAAGACCAGGGGATGGCGGGGGATTCCATGTACAGCCAGGTCCGGCCCAAGATTAAATGTGAGCAGTCCTACGGCACCAATTCCAGCGATGAGTCGGGGTCATTCTCGGAAGGAGACAGCGAGTCGTGCCATGTCCAGGAAAGAGGGCCTGAGGTAAAGAGAACACTTTCATGCTGTTTCTTCCACCCTTGGTCTGTGACTGCTGTGCATTGTGATGTCTTTAAAATAAGGTCCTCTTGGCCACATGACAGTCTTTCTTGTGAAATGAAAATATGCTGAGAGCCATTAAACACACAGCATGTCTTATTTGTTTGCATTTGAATGCCTCTCAGTATACATTTTAGTGATATGAATACACAGATCAAGATGTTTAGCATTACCATAAAGAAGAAGTAACTAGTGTCATTGCCTGCACATTTTAATACAGACTAGTCTTTATTAGGATGAATCGGTTGGCATGCATTGGCTGTTAATGCATTCATAGAGCAGCCATGAAGGACAGATGCACTTCAAGTGACTTAAAGCTGACCAAATTTGCTGCCTCACCTTTCAGCTCCTGATCAATCAGCAGCAACAATAGTGCCCACATACCAGGAAACAGTCATATGTTTCATTTATTTTCAACGCAGCTGTCTTTGGAAATTTGGAAATGGACTTGTATAAACACTTGCACTCTGATGTTGTTTTTTAACGCTCCAATGTAAGCTGTACATCAACATGTGTATTATTAATTGCAAATCCTCTTAGCTGAGTAGGACATAGTATTTTAATTACTAGGAGCTAACTATCTTAAAGCCTTAATTATGACTTAAAAGCTTTTTAAATGACTGCAGGCTAGGAAAAAAACAAATGATATCCTTCTAGAAAGTCGATGTGTTGTTTTATTCATAACGAAGAAGTGGATTTTCAGTCTAGTCATCTTTAAAGCATACATCTGAGGGAAACTACATTTTCTCTGGCAAAAGAAAGTGGTGTGTTGCCATGGTGATCTCCATTTCTGAACAGTTCTTGGCTGCTGAATTGAAAAATGAGAAAATTGTAACACAGGTTTCATTTGAACTATGGCAAGAATTTGTCTGTAAATCCCGTTTTACTGCACAAACAGATAAGCATTAAAATTACACCTAGTCGGAATTTGTAAACATCATATTATTGTTTGCTGTCAGTCATGTAATGTCTGTATGCTGTATAGATACTGCTGTACAGAGAATTTCATTGTAATAATGGTCATCATTAATATGTATTTTATTTTCTTAATTTGGAACCTAATTTGGGCAGCACAGAGGTGCAGTGGTTAGCACTGTTGCCTCTCAGTGCTGGGGCACTGGGTTCAATTCCTGGGGTGCTGTCTGTGTGGAGTTTGTTTGTTCTCCCCATGTTTGCATGTGTTTCCACCAGGTGCTCTGGCTTCTTCCCACAGTCCAGACTTACTGGTAGGTTAACTGGCTTCTAGGAAAATTGAGCCTGGTATGAGTGTGGGTGTTGCAATGGACTGGCGTCCCGTCCAGGGTGTATCCTGCCCTGCGCCTGTTAATTGCCGCGATAAACTGTGTCTCAACTGGATTGGGAAAAAGGTTAGAAAATGGAAGGATGGGAACCTGCTTATTTTTCTGCTGGGCCGGTTACCTTTTTCTGTGTGAATATAGCGGTGTCTCAGATTTTAATATGGGACTTTTAATAACAGAAGATGAAATGCTTAATTAAAATAATCTAGTCTCAAATGTGCCAAGCCAAAGTGCTTTCATTAGACCCCAATCAACAAATTACTACTCTCTTGCTTTCAAGACCATCTTCAGAGTCAACTAGAAAAATAAGCTTTGCTGGGACTGAGGTTTTTATGGCCAACTATAAGCAGAAACAATGTTTTGAAAGTGCATTTTTAAAATAGAAACCAGAGAGCCTGAAAACAATGGATTCCAGTAAGGAAGGAAGTTGTTAAACTGTAGGCTTATCTCAGAAGGCAAAAGTTATTCAAGGTGCTTCTAGTCTCACAGGGTTTTTCTGATGCTCTGTGCCCAAGGCAAGAAAGCCGTAGCTGTATTTCTGGCACAAGCCTAGAAAATAAACCCGCCATGAGTACAGCAGTCTGAAAGTACATTCTGTGTTTAGATGTTGCCAGGACAAAATGAACATCATCCTTGTCCATTGTATGTAGAATTCTTTTCATCATCCCTAAATCAAAATGCTGAGGTAAAACCTATGATGAGTCAACATATATGGAATTTCTCTGGGGCTATAACAGCAGATGGCTCAGAGCCAAAAGGTCTGAGACATGAGTTGAGTGCTCCCAGCACACAGAGCACAAGGTTATCTTTTTTTATTTGCATAGAAACAAGGAATGGTCGATTTGGTTTTCTTAGCATTGAATTGATTGAATAATTTCTACACCCAGATCCATTTCTGTTCTTACAGTAATGTGATACAGTGTTCTTTTAATGAGCTTTATCCTCATCTACTTGAAGATGAATTCTCTTTTAACATCTGCTGTTTGTTATTATTTGGTAATATGCTGAATATTAACTTATAAGTGAATGTGTTACTCACACAGGAAATAAAATGCCCGAAACACCAGTTCCGTTCTTTCACGATCTCTACAAGCATTCTCTATTCTCGATATGATAAATTGTGGTCTAAATATTATTAGGCATAAGAAGTTCAGTTGAAATCTGAAAACCGCATTAAATTATGTTTTACATTGTTGTTTGTAACTGCGTCTCAGGGTCTGTGTTTCTGTGGTGTGTTTCTCCTCCTGGTTTATTTTTCTTGTACACTTCTTTAGTTCGGATGTTTTACCGTATAAGAAGGAGTGGAACGTCTTCCTCAAAGTGTTAGCGGTCCTTGTGACTGACACTTCTGTATAGCCAGCAGCCATATCACTCTGCAACTCACAACTGGCAACCCCACTGAAGCTAGGCAGGTGTGGTCAGTATCTGGATAGGAGATCTCCTGGGAAAAACTTAAGTTAGCTGCTGGAAGAGGTGTTACTGGGGCCAGTAGGGTGCGCTCACCCAGCAATCTGTGTGGGTCCTAATGCCCCAGTGTAGTGATGGGGACGCTATACTGTAAATAAGGTGTCATCTTTTAGAGGAGACATAAAACTGAGGTCCTGACTCTCTGTGGTACTTAAAAAAACCCGGAGCGTTTCTCGAAAAGAGTAGGGGTGTTTATCCCAATGTCCTGGCCAAATTTCCCATTGGCCCTTACCAGTTATGGCCTCCTAATAATCCCCATCACTGAACTGGCTTCATCACTCTGTTCTCCTCCCCACTGATAGCTGATGTTTGGCTAGTGTACTGGCGCACTATGGCTGCCATTGCATCATCCAGGTGGGGCTGCACACTGGTGGTGGTGGAGGAGAGTCCCCATTACCTGTAAAGCGTAATGAGTGGACAGTGGAGAGTCCAGAAAAGCCCTATATAAGTGTAAGCAATTATTATTCTTATTACTTGCCATCATTTATTGTAGGAAACCTTGACATCCTTAATAAGCTGCACAGGTTAAGCCTTGCCTCTCTTTTGTTTGAAAGAAATACAGTGAGCCACACAGCTGCAGTGTGTCAGCCAGTTACAGGGATAGGTATTGTGTATGTTTTTTAAAGCCTCCAAGAACCAAACCAAATAGGCATGGTAACATTAATCAGCAGAACTCAAAACACATTCACAGTAACAACATTACATGTCATCAAACTCAAATCACTGTGTATGTGCTGTACGTATGCAAAGGCCTACAGCTTGTTTTTCCTCTGATCCACTAAGAACTGTATTGTATGCTTTGTTGCTTTACAAAGCTTAATAAAAAATGTACTGCACTTCAATATTTTATTCCTTTGATATTATAGTGCTTACTGTATGTCCTACTGGCCCAGCTATAGTTTAATCTACAAAATTAGGTTGCAGAACATGTACCTAGATTTCATAACCAGAAGGCAACCAGTTAGTTTCATTTTCATTTTTAGCTTGTACTGTTGCGAAAGATGTTTTGCATCATTATTCAGAAGCTGTCGTTTCTTTTTTTTTCACAACCTGTTTTTAAAATTATGACCAGAAACGATATAAAAAAAAATCAAGAAAGCAACAAGAGGGATGGGATTTATGATTGCTGCTAGAAGCACACTTTGTCATCCTAACCTTATTACTGGACTAGTTTTCCTTGTGGGGTTGCTATATATAGGAGTTTCTTCACAGCTGAAAAGAAACTTTACAAGGTCAAATCTAACCTGTTTCCTGTAGCCTTCCTGATAGTGTTTAATGGCCTGTAAATTCCCTTTTTTTTTGCTTTTTCGTAAAAACAGCAAATCACCTTTTATTTAATCGCGATGTGTGTAGCGGGGCATCGTAGGGGGGACAAACTTTGCGGAAAGATAGCAACTCAGACAGCTGAATTATGTAGAATATAGTACCCACAATGTAAAAGCATTTTTACAAACCATGTGGTAATTTCCTTTGAATCTATAAGCTTTCAAAATATTATTGTTTCACCTTGTTGGCTTGGATTTTGCCTGAGTAGGGAATAGCACATAAAAAGACTGAGTAATATCTTTCAGAAATCGTGGATGAGGTACTGTAATGTAAAGATATGGACTTGTTTTGTTTGTGCAGAAATAGGAGGAATAGAAGGTGTTTTGAGCATTGAAAGACTCCTGTCACTCTATGTAGAAATTTAAAGTTTATACTGTAGATGCTGGATATTGATTCAACGTTTTGGCACATTTGTAATTAATCGATCATTCACGATTGACCATGAATACAGTACATGAGACACTCAGGTTTCTTTGACTTTTGCATACAGTAAGTACTAAGTCAAAGCACTAAGTGAAACAGCCAGGAAGATGATTTGTAGTTTGTGGGTTTGTTTTCAATATGACGATAATCCTGAAAACCTATCCAGACAAAACCTAACTTATTTCTGTCAGAAAAAGGAATTGCAGGTTTTGTGGTATGTAGAATTGCAGACATTAGTACTGGCAATGAGCCCATTCACCAGGATATATTAACTCCACTTTCTAGGATGAACGAGTATTCAAGAAACTTGGACTCTTTGGTAACTAAGTCTAGCACAAGGACTTCCAGTATGATGCATTACAGATGAGACTGTAAACTAGAGCTGACAGTCTTCTATTCCAGTGATGTTAGGCTATGTAATGCCTTTTAAAAAGACATCTGAGAATCTGGTTTATTGGAATCCTTTATATCTCACCTAAAATTCACATTAAAACTTTTCAAAGACTTGGGTTTACTCTTTGTATTTTTTTCCCTATTTTTTCTGCTTTGGTTTTATGCAATTCTTTGAAGGCTAAAGGCTCCTAATGAAAAGTGCTTTATCAAATAATAATTCTTAATACCCTTAACAGAAAATATCCATTTCATTTTGATCCATTTTTTATTTTCAATGATGCTTTTTCTGATTTCTGGTTGTGAGGTTTTGTGTTTTTGGTTGAGTATGCAGCATCTTCTGTTGTGTTCACTTTATATTCCACTTGCACAGTTAAAGAACACAAATAAAAGAGCTGTGATTTATTTGGCTGTGTGCAGGCTTTGAGCATTATCTGTATGAGCTTCATGGAGTCATGGTCACAGAGATTGAAGGTTGTCTGCACACTGTCACACTGTGTGCCTCGTACAGGCATGGGGGCATTAATCATTTAGAAAGCACTGCAGACCTCCATCTAGGTGTAAATTCTGAAACAAAGGCTGCAGTTGATTTTCACTAATTAGAACCTTTGATCGTTGCTCTGTCCTTGTGAATGGCAAAGCAGCTGAGCTTGTTAACTCCAGGCTTACACTGAAAGAATGAAATTTTAACATATTTAGTTGCAGGCAGTGAAGACAGCCCTCGGGGCTTGCTTCTGATAGTGAAAATGGGAGAGGGAGATCTATTACTGAACCAAAAATGAACTTCTGTTTTTGGTAGCTAATACTTAGTGTGTATTTGTGTTGTATTGGCAGCAAATTTGTGCCTTCTTTATGATCCCTTTTTTGCCTATGTCATCCTTCTTGAAATCTGTCATTTTTCTAAATGTATGCAGGATTAGAGAATGTCAGCTGGAAAAAACAGCCTATAGTAAAATGTATTTTTTTAAAATATTATGGGCATTGAGGAATACAATGAGATAGAAAAGTAATGCAATGGTACACAGGGTAGTGCTTATTGTCCTTAGCTTTGCACTGAAGATACTGAAGAGGCTGAACCAAAGTCATCTGCTCTCAAGAGAAATGTCTTATCTATCCAGCTAGGACCCAGATAAAATATATAAATTTATACCTCATTGCCACTCATCTACCTTACTACTAGACATGTATTTCCCAAGTATCCCCTTTTCATGGTATTCTAATTATGATTCCTAAGAACATAAGAAAGGTTACAAACCAGTTGAGGTCATCCAGTCTTTCTGACCCATTTTGGCAGGTAGCAGTTCATTGATCCAAGGATTTCATTCAGACGTGTCTGAAATATTGGCTTGAACTGTGTGGCTTGGTGGCTTGTTCCAGACTCCCACAACCCTTTGCGTAATGGCAACTGTTTTAAATGCACTTTCACATACTGTAGTTTCCACTCATGTCCTCTGGATCATGTTTCACGGTTCTTTTTGAAAAAATCTGCTGGCCTGACTGTATCAGAGACTTCGAGGATTTTGAATATTTGTTCCAGCCCTTTTGTCATCTTCGCTGTTCAAGGCTCAGGAAGTTCAGTTCTGTCAGCCTGTCAGTGCAGGATGTTCTTTTAAATCCTTGAAGGCGTTTGGTTGCTCGTCTCCGGACTGCAATATCTTTTTTTAACGTGGTGACAAAAAATGTACACGGTATTCTAAATGAGGCACTGTACTGTACAATTTTGACATCACAACCCTTGATTTTAATTCTTCACGTTTCATGGTGTAGCTCAACGTTTTGGTTATCTTTTTTATTTCTTCTTCACATAGTCTGGAAGATGTAAGCAATGTATCAACATAAACACCCAAGGTTTTTTTATAAGTAGCCTCATCTGTCTCATTGTTTCCCATTTTGTATTTAAAGTTTGTTTTTTCACCACCTTCATGCGAATCCTTGTTCTTGTCTATTTGCTGCCATAAACATAGGTAGTGCTCAATTCTGACAGAAACAACATGGCTGGATAAATGGGCAAATGAAGAACATCCAGGCCCCTTTCAGTCCCTTCTATGTACGATGTTTCCTGGCACAATGATTTTAACCCTGCTGATATCTAAGGACTTGGGTTGTTGTACAGTACTGTATATCCTGGCGATGACGCTGGTTGCAGTTTGACAACGGCAGTTTGGGAAGAGAATGCTTTCTTCCGAGATGTGTTGTTGTTCTTAAAACCTGTTTTTCACAAGCTGTCTCTCACCTTTACCTCACACACAAGTTCTTTGACTGTCATTCCGAGTCCCCTGTTACATCTCTCAGGGCTATTCTGGACTGTTCTTGTAGCTACACTTCATTGATCATGCGGGACAGAGGCAGGCAACTTTGACGATTTAAAAATCAGGGAGGCAATTAATATCTTGGCCAAACCAGTGGCAACATAAGGCACCATTATCCATGGCCAGTAAGAAAGAGGCCAAAACTAGGTTACCCAGCTTCATTTACACAGATCGTAAAGAAACAAGTCTCACCTAGGTATGATTTTTGCTTTTTAAGTTGGTCTTTCCTATTATTGTAATGATCTTACATGATGATTAACTGGGCTGTCACTGCTACACCAGTGGTACAGTTTCCCAGTGGGGTAAATGCCGATCTCCTTCTCCTGCACAGGATCTGTTCTCATACGCAGATCTGCCCCCCTGTGAATTCGCTGACATGTTATATTAAATAGGGTGGCCTGTGACAATATGCAGATTCGTTTTATCTGTCGTGCTGTTTTCTTTTGTACCAGTTCTAGACAGGTGTTGATACATTGCTAGTTTCTTATTTGTAAAAAAAAAGACAAAATAAGGAAACGAGGAGTGTCTGGGGTCACCTTCACTTCTAAACTGATGTGTAGGTGAAATTTCGATGCAGCAGTTTGAGTCGCACCGTCTTGCAGCTGTTTTCATTGTATGCAGTAAATAAAATGATGGCGCCATCTTGTGGCAGCACTGAATATTGCTAGCGATCTCTTGAAATATTTCTCATAACTGCTCTCAGCTTGGAAGTACGTGCTAAATAGCGGTGCAACATGTAGATCATATTAGATCATCAGTATATCAACTATTCTAATATACGTATGTGAAGATAATAAATATCTATATTCTTGTTCTATCACCTAAATTACAGTCAGAATCAGAACACCATATTTCAGGAATGCATCGTATGCAAATTCCAATAGAATAAAATGTTGTTTTACAGTATTAAAAATAACAGGAGAAAACTGAAATTTACAGTAATTTCATGTCAGGATGGAAAGAGTATTTATAATATTCACGTATACATCTAGAACTGATATTTAAATCACCTCTTGCTGTTCAACCCCCTTTATAAAGAAGCGTAGCTATCCATCTCCATCCTCTAGGGTAAATTTTAGTTGCAACAACGTTCACTTTAGTTTTCAGTGTGAAAGAGAAAAGGACGTGAACTCGCCTATATCTGGGCTCACAGTGGTTCCCTCTCCAATTCTGCCAGTGCCAGTTGGGAATCTCACCCCAACGAGCTTCATGCACCACATTTCGTAATACTGCCCGGAATAAAGCTTTTACTGCATGAATCACTTAAGTGTCCCTAGATCAGGAGTGTCCAAATCTCTTATAGAAGGGCCTAATATCTGCCTTTTATTGTTCCAATCTGAGTACTCAATTAACATCAGACATACAGTATATAAAATGTTACTTAATGTCCTTTATAGCTGATGACTCAAAACAGTCACTTCATACATTTCCTCAGTCAGGCATATACAGAAGGTTACGTAAGGTCTTTTACAGTGTGTTCCTCAAAGAGATCACTACCTTAAAGCTACAGCTGCTGTATTTATCAAACACCTCAGAACCAAGCTCTAAGTATTACACTTATGCAGTTCATTAAGTAATTGGACCCAAAATATAACAGAAAGATCAGGTTAGAACAAAAAAAAAACAGATGGTACTAGGATGGTCCAGGAACTGAGTCTGGCTTTCCTGGCCCAGACCTCACAGTTTTATTACAAAACATACGTCTGAAAACAAATCCAACATTCTGAACCCTTACAGCAAGCGTGTACACCGTGACATACCTGTAAAGTGGGAATCATTAAACAATCTTTGTTTTACTTTTTGCTTTGAGAACAGAGAACACATTTTTAAACCTGTCCATCTCCGAGCGAAGTAGGCGATTTCAGCCGAAAAAAATTGGCTTCCCTTAACTCGTCTGCCTTTCTTCCAACCTTACAGGTCAAGCTTCCTTTCCCTGTCGATCAAATCACAGATCTTCCCAGGAACGACTTCCAGATGATGATAAAAATGCACAAACTAACCTCAGAGCAGCTGGAGTTCATCCACGACGTCCGGCGGAGGAGTAAGAACCGAATAGCCGCGCAGCGCTGTCGGAAGAGGAAACTGGACTGCATTCAGAACCTGGAGTGTGAGATTCGCAAGCTGGTACGTGCCCTCCGGACCTGCCCTGACCACGCTTGTCAGTGCACAGGACCGAGCAAAGCAGGGTGCTGGAGAGGGGCTTGAGCAGTGCCAAGCCGAAGTAATGACGCGGGAAGAGATACACTGGTCTCGTTGCCTGTTCGTACGGGTTAAATAAATGTCACGTACAGTTGATTCAAATGGGGGTTGTTTAATGCGCTTACTGGAACACAGTCTCTCAAACCCTGCCCCTCACCTCTGACCCCCCTGTCAGCAACAGCAGGTCAACCTTTAAATTGAACGAGCGCTCATTTTAAGGTTACACAGAAATAGTGAGATCTTATTTAAACCAAAGACGTCACTCTGTGTGCTCTCAGGATGTAGTTTTGTTTTTATTAGTTTCGGGGTTATTGTTATATATTTCCAGTTGTTTTATGTTTAGTTTAGACTAGATAAAGTAAAAATGGATGTATAAATTAATGTTTACTTTCTATTCTAAAGCTAGACTGTCTCTTGCTAGTTTTTGTTGTCATTTAACTTGAACTCATAAGTTTCTTCAGACTATTAGGATATTTGCTCTGGATCTTGGACTGAATGACCCTGTCTCAGTACAAAAATGAGGGATTTCTATGTATAATATTTTGAGCAGTGTGCTTTAGTAATGAACCACTTTGCTATAGTTTAGATATTTATCTGGAAGATCCCTGGTTTTCTTGGTGGTATAGTGAAGTGTCACATTGCCTGTTAACTGACAGGGAGAGCCGTCATTGTCTTGATGTTTCTACAGTCTGCAGTGGGAAACTCGTTGACCATCTCTCTGCAATCTGCTCCTGAGCAAGTTGCTGAAGTGCAGCCTTTGGAAATCATCCTTTGCCCCCTGCACTGCAGATGGTTGTATTGATGGAGTGAGCAGGGATTAGATGCTAGTTCTTGCCGGTTCTAGCTGTTCTGGAGAAAAAGCGTTATGTAGGTCAACCAAACCGCGTTCTAACTACGGCATGTGTAACCAGAGTGGCATTCTGAGAGCTGCCCATCTCCCCCACAGCACACGCCCACAGATTTCCTTCCACAGCATCAGCGGAGGCAGCTTTGCGTGGGGACGCAGGATGTTTCCATGACAGGACAGAAGCCTGTGTCTTTTTTCAGCCTTTGATATTTAGCTTCATTGACAAGCCGTCCACGCCATATAGGAGCGAACAAAATGTCGAGAGTCTTTACAATAAAGCCAAATGAACGTCAATGCGATTTCAAATGGTTTTGTTGCTGTTGTTGTGTCACAGTTTTAAGTGTAGATAACCACAGGTTTAAAGCCACAAGAAACTCAATCTAGTTTTCATCAGATGCCTGCAAGTGCATCTGTTGCATTGTTTGGGAATTAATGCACATTCACAGGACGAGAGGCTGTCGCAGATGCCAGCGAATCTCGACTTGATAGCACAGCCATGCACAACTTTAATTTTGTATGTTGGCCTTAGATTAAAAAACCACATCCAGCACTCCGACAAGAAGAGGTCCTGAATTCTCCCCTTGTTTCCTTGCCATTTGAATGTTTTCAGTGAAGCTCTCCCTCGAGAATACCTGTCTGAGTATTAGAGAGAGCAGATAAGGTCACTTTATTAGCCATGTACCATTTCTTGCATTAGGAATTTGTCTTTTCGCATGCCCCAACTTACTCTCCTTGAGAGGCACAGGCACACAGATGGGGAGAGAGAAGCTTGGGGTCAGAGCGCAAGGTCAGCCATTTTTGGAGCGCCCCTGGAGCAGTTGGGGTTAAGGGCCTTGTTCAGGGGCTCAACAGAGTAGGATTCCTCTGCTGGCGGTGGGATTTGAACCGGCAACTTTCCAGCCACAGGCGCAGATCCTTAGCCACAGAGCCACCGCTCCGCCCAGAAAGCTCTACTTAATGTGAAGTAGGGCATAATGGTCTTACGTATTCCAAGCTACAGCTGCTTTAAACTTGCCGCTCTGTGTTCTTGCTAGGTATGTGAAAAGGAGAAACTGCTGACGGAGAGGAACCAGCTGAAGGCCTGCATGGGGGAGCTGTGGGAGAACTTCTCCTGCCTGTCCCAGGAGGTGTGCAGGGATGTGCAGCTCAGCCCCGAGCAGGTTCAGTCTCTGCACAGGTACTGTCCAGTCCTCAGGCCTGTGGATCAAACTGCCCCCGCCCCCGCCAACACCAGCATCAACCTCACTTCCTCCAGCTCTGCAGCAGCTGGGGCGGAACAAAACTTCGCCAAGTCGCCGTGTGCCGGGGACAGCATGCAGTGCTGCGCTGACCCCAGCCCCGTTCAGATGGGCGCTCAGTGGCTGCCAGGCAACGGAGCCGAAAGTCTAGGGGGAATCACGATAGGAGAGCATGACCCCAGCACTTTCCTTGACATGGGGTCATCGTTTGAACAGTGTAACCAGACAGTTACGGTGGACTTTTGCCAGGAAATGACTGATAAATGTACAACTGACGAACAGCCCAGGAAAGACTGTACCTAGTAGTGGTGGGCATTTTTTAAAACACCTCCTTCCCAGAGGCTGTGGGGTGGGTCATCATCTGCCAGTGTTCTTTAGAACTTTTTTTGTTGTTGTTGATTTTTTTAAAAAGGTTGACACTACAGTTGTCTTAACAGCAGCAATATCGTTCTCCAGGTATTCTCTCCTAACCATAACAAGTGGGGAATTAAAACCCTCATAATGGTGCTACACCTTGCCCCAGCAGGGATCACAACAGTGGGAACACTGTTTTTATGTATTAAAGTTCATTCGCAAGAGGAATGGGCAGATGACATCTCAGATTTAAAACCTCTATGGACCTAACAGCAACTGTTTTGTTCTCTTTATCTGTCTCTCTCTTTCAGTTTCTCAGTGGCCCTGGTCACAGCAATTCAAGCTCAGGAATTCTTCTGAATGTTCAATATTGTTCATAAAAAATAAGACGGTTTCTGTACATTGAGAGTTTTATACAGTAGCTAGACTGTATGCGTTCATATGCAAAAATTTCTTCTGCATCGCTCATTTTTAGAGTTTCTATACTGGAACACTTAATGTGTATTGTACAGAAGTTTGTATTTAAACATTCCTCTTTTGCCTTTTACAGTGCGAAAAATAAAGAAAAATTGGTTTGATGATCAGTTACTTTGCTAGGGGTCCCCACACATCAGCAATATCATTCTCTGCTTTTTTAATTCTAGATATTTAAAATCTTTGTTAGGCAGACAGATTAATGTATATAATTGTGGCACTGTAAGGGTGTCCATGAGCATGGTGATTTTGATCATGAAAAAATTGTACAGTAAAGGTTAAACTTTCATTTACACTGGGGTTACATCAGGTACCTTTTCCAGGAGTATAACGTTCCTGTGATTTCTTAGATGTTTTCTGCCAGTAGGCTATTGTTTTCCATACAGTAAAGTATTCCTACACTCAGGATGTCAGGCTTATTTAAAATAAAACCGCCTCTTTTATGCTAATTGGGTGTTCAAACTGACCGGCAAACAGGTATTGTGGGATATTACCCAGTGGTCATGTGAGGTGTGAATTTTATGAGGGCCTGCTAACAGTTCTGTAGATGTGAGAACAGTTTTGTTTTAAATAGGGTTTGTGTTTCAGAGTTTTAAAAGAAAAAAAGTCAGTATTTAAAAAAATAACTTTGGTGAGATTTTGGACACTTCTCACCTTTGTGAATTTCTTTCAGTGTTACTTTTTGATTTTGTGAAAGAATATGGAAATAATTGGAAACAACAGGATAAACGTGTTTCGGGATATGCTAAATCTTCTAGCTAATGTGGTTTTTTTTTTCGTGTTTACTTTTGCATTTCATGTCAGTTGATTGGCACTTTTTTTTACAAAATGCACCTGGCACTCAAAACACAAATGAGCACTTCATAGAGGTTATATCATAGCCACAACCACTTGAAGAAAGCACTTAATTTGGCACGTAGAAGCCAGCTTCTCGTGGATAATTCTTATTATTGTCAAGAATATTAGGCTCACACTTCTATATGAATCCCGTTTATCTTTTCCTTAAAATAAATTGGAATCTGATTTTAGTATGTTCTTTTGCCATTGTCATGTGATTTTCATTATGAGAATTAGTTTAACATCATACGGAAAAACTCTATTTATAAAACAGGAAGTAAGCCCAGTCAAATTAGATATTTTATCCTCTATCTAGGTATTAGATTATAATTCAAGAAAATATCATTTAAAAACAGTCACATATTGATCACTTGCCCTCAATGTGAAGTTTATGGAGAACATAACTATCCCATGCATATGTGTTTTGTGGAATAATGTAATGCCTGTTACCTTTATCATTTTAGTCATCTGTATTTGCTTCCATTTCTTTTTTAAGTCCACTAAATTTTTGCAGCTCTTTAACTACTGTTAGGTTAGTGGTGTTCTGCAAAACACCAGCAATTGGAGATCATGAGTACTGCACAAGGCAACAAACAAAGTGTTTTTAAAGATATTAACACAGGGAATTTCAAATATTTGTATTCTGAAGTGCAAGGAGAAGGGGCTGAATGCCTTCTATTCATTTGTAGGATGAAGTATGTTCTCCCACTGTTGAATTTGACAAAGAACTAAGAATCTTGAAATATGGTTGAAAATCATTACCCTAAAATACAGAGGATAATGCTGTAATGAACCATTTCATTATTAAAAAATGGGTAGCATCCATTATAAATTTTACATTGCCATTTTAAAAATAAGCTTCATTATGCATAAATCAATATGGAATATTTGTGTTGGCAAACAAAATGTTCCAGCTCATGTTGGAATTGAGGAATAATCTGGCAGTCCTTCACTAACACTGGTAGAACACAAAACTGAACGATACTGTACCGTCTTGGCAAGCCAATAGCTAAGAGACTATTTCTGTGGTTAACAAACCACAATTGCTCACATTTTACAGCAACTAACAGCAGTGAAACTGGCCATCACAAACTCCGGGTAAAATCACTGCGGAAAAGCTTCCACAATTAAACTTATATGAACCACTGCTCATCCACATGATGTTTTATTAAGCTTCCGAATTTAAAGCTAGCTAGTTATTGTGACTAGTCTGTAAAGTTGTTACTCTTTTCTTGTGTTTTTTTTTTCTTCAGATGCTAGTCCATATGCTTTTGCTATATGGAATTTTATTGAAATTCGAAAAAACAACATCAGGTAATAAAAGGGAGACTAGAATTAGGGAGGTGTACAAGTATGTGCAGGTCATCCCTATAATTTTGTTCTTTCTTACTTAATGTTCCAATCATATGGAAAGCAATTTCGGTGACCTTCTAGTATGAAAAGCACATTCTGTATATGTTGAGAAGTATCTCCATCTACGTCAAGTGGGCTGTGATTTTTTTCAAACACATTGAAGGTTTCTTGTCCTGCGTAGATAAATAACTATAAGCTATAGGTAACGTTTTCTTTGTTATTATTTTGTGCTCTTTAGGTAGCAATGAGTGCATAGCACTTTCTGTCTTGTAAATATTTTCCATGGCTTTGCTTGGAACAGCACCCAGGGAAAAAGAGATCTGATGGTGGTGCAGTGGCCCGAGACGGAGATCGTCACTCGATACAGATCATCCCTTTCATGTCACAGCGACCCCCCTCCGCCATGTAGCAGTCTAGGGGATGATTTGTTTAGGACTGGAATGCGATGCTTACTGCCACAGGGCAGTCGGAGTCAGATGGGAAACCGTGGCTGGAGGACTCCGCTGTCCCCAGCGTCTGTGGCCCTAATGCGATATCTGCACCCGCGCCCTCTCTTCCTCGGAGTGTCTCCCAGAGACTGGGGAAAAAAAACCAAACAAAAACAAAGGTGTGATTCATCGGCCCTGAGACCTGATGGTCCCGGCCGTCCTTCACGAGGAGCCTTTGCTGTCGCCTCGGTCACGTATACCTGCGTCTGTTTCTGGAGCACGTAGTAATCTGTATATAGTGCAGATGCTCTCATATGTTGTCTCAGGGTGCCAAAAGTATAAGATATTTTTTATCCATTTATGATTCTGGAACAGACATTTTTACTGTTATTCATTCATGGGTTGATTTTTTTTTTTTCCTCCTGATTTTGTTTTGTCTGCTTGGGTGGCTGTGTTTGCATCCACGGGCCCTGCCCCACACCTACAAATTGTACGAGCTCGAAAGTGATCGCTGATCAGAAGCAAAAGCTGAGAAATTAGATTTGCACAAAACCAAGAAATCCCCAAAAAGGGCTAAAACTGACACTGCAAAATGAGCCTCAAAGACCAGGTCTAATTTATAAAAACTAGTTTGAAGAGTTGTAGACTAGCATAAGAACTACAGGTATATCCACATGTTCAAAAAAACCAAACAAACTCTCAAAGATGTGCAGTGTTATAGTGATTTGTTATCTGTGCTGCATATAGTGGGCTGATTTACAGAGATTTTTAAAGTGTATTTTATATTGTTAATGTTTAAGACGAAAAGCCAGTTTGACTGAATACAGAGTACTCTTATCCTTGCTAGCTTTTAGGGGTTCGTTTAGGTGTTCTGTGCTGCTTATCATGACAGTAGTTTTTAACACTGGCTATGTCCACATAGTTTTGTGTCACAGTGAACACGACTCACCTTTTTGAAAATTTGCTAAACTTTATAATTACTGGTATCCTCGCGGAACGCAAAAATCTGAGATAATTTACAGCAAAGGACAAGTGTTTACAAAAAGTGTCACCTTTTTTTTAGCGATTTGCCATGTAAATAAAATTGCCAGAAGAGACTGATAATGTGTTGAGATATGTTTGAATGACAATGCCCACTACTTACTATGCGTTTTACAACTTGTCAGTAGACCGGTTTGTTTCAGAATTATGTGGATACAAGTGCACCTCCAATTTTTGCCTTACAAATTTCAGAGGCCATATTCACATCAGCGTGAACTGAGTGTATGCAGGGGCCTAAGCCCCCCACCCCCTTGTCAACAGTATGGACTTTCTCACACTTATCTACCTGTAAAATCCTTCATACCTCTCATAACTGGTCAATGACTGTATCAACAAACTGCATCAGGTGTTTTTTCTACATGCTTTTTACACAGATTCTATGGGATTATTGTATTAGTAGATTTGGTGCATCATTTTTTAATGTACTGGTTCTTAAGCTTGTAGTCTCCAAGTTATTTTTTTTTCTAGAAGACTGTGTTTTTGTGTTAATATTGTCGATTTGAGATAGCTGTTATTTGCTTTTTCTGTTACTAAGAGTTTTTACCGTTTTTATTTTCAAAATTGCTACATGATCCTAATGAATTTAATGACTCCCTAAACCCATTGTAAATACAGTATTGTGCAAAAAATCCCCTTTCATTCATTTGAATTGCTAGTGTTATAAAATTACTGATTTTTTTGTCTAGACACCATTTCTGTTAATGAAATAAAGAACATATCAAGTATAACAATCTTTGTGGGTTTTATTCTGCTCTCTTGTATTTTATTTTATCCTTGAAACAACCGGTTAAAGCTACACAAAAGAAAGAAGGCTTCACAGCTGAAACGTTGTGTTTTCTCTCTTCTCTTTTCAGCATGGAATAAACCTACTACTTGTTCCTTTATAGAATGCTAACTCTAACTAAAACTAATTTCAATCTATATTTTGCATCTGTTTCTCAGCTTTTGTTTAGGATCATAATTGTTAAAAGAGAGGTAGTACATATACAGTACCATCTATTGCATGGCTGTCTGTAACTGTAAGAAAATGAAATGACGCATACCCATTTTTTTAAAGTTCACTTTTCAAAACATGAATGTTTAGGAGTCTGAGGTTAACTTAACTTACAGAAAATGTCAGCAAAAACAGAAGGAAATGTTTATTTCATAAATATTCAGAGCAGTGAACCCAGTATTTGATGGGAGCACCTTTGGCAGCACTTGCAGACGCAAGTCATTTTGAGTCGGGATCAACTTGACACATCGGGTCATTGCACTTTGTGCGCGTTTTTCTCCGCAGATTTGCTCAAGCTCTCTAAAGTTAATTGGCTTAGCTTATATGATCGGGGATCATTTCTGGACAGCTGTTTTCAAGTCTTGCTACAGATTCCCAATATGATTCAAGTCAGACCTTTCGCTGGGACTGTCCACTGTAGCTTTGTGGAGTAAATAGGATCTTCTTTATTGATGAGCTTTATCTCTCATCTCAGCCATTGAACCCTGTAGCTCTTTTAACATTGTCGTTGGCCTCCAAGTAGATTCACTAATTGGTTTCCTCCTTGCCCAGCAGGTCAGTTTGGAGGGACAGCCTGATATCGCCAGTGTTGGGATGCCTTTCACTTCTTAATGATCAAGTTTGCCATGCTCAAAGGGGCATTAAGGGTCTTTGAAATGTTTTCTGTGCACTTCTTCTGATCCGTGTCTTTACCCCTGAGTTGTTTTGAAAGCTCCTTGGTCTTCATGGTTGAATCTTTGCTTGAAATTCACTACCTGGTGGAGGGACCATGCAGAGATACAGGTACTGTATATTTATAGTGAAGTCATTGTTTTGAACTTCTACTATTGCTCACAGACAAAGGACACCACTTATTATGTGGCATGTTCAAGTCATTTTAATTTTCTATTCCAAAATGTCAGTTTTCCACAGCAAAAAAAGTTTGACTATTTCTGCAGTCACGAGTTCTGTTTTTCTACAACATAATCTATTTATTTTTTTGCTTTAGATATATGAAGTAGGTTGTACATACAGTATGGCAAATAGTAATATTGCAGCAACAAAATGTGAAAACTGTGGAAGGGTCTGAATACTTTTGCAAGGCACTGTACATCATGAAAGCCAGTTCCAAAAATGACTACACATGCCTAGGCTATGATATTATTTCCTATATGCTTCCGAATTTGCTTGGAATTACAGAATTTGTTCCGCGTTTATGAGACTATGCTACACAATAACATAAGACCAATTCAGGCAAGGAGTTCATTAGACTGGTCAAGAGTCACCAGCTGTAAATCCAATTGAGTAGCATTTTTAACCAATTTAAATTAAAGCTGGAACCCAGAAGAACACCCCACACATAAACAGGAACTCAAAACGGCTCCCGACAAGCAGCTCAAATGATCACACAAAGACATGGGCGAGCTCAATGAGCCACAGACTCCATGCAGTTATAACCTCAAATCCTGCTGTTTACTCAATTTACGTCTGTTCTCTGAGGGCAGAGTGAGTGTGTCTCAATACTTGCATTCACATGAAATCACTGGGTTGTTCCAATATGATCAAATGTGTATATTAGTGTAAATGAGTTAGCCAAAAAATGTATATTGTTCTTAACATCCATATTAATCAAATTATCACAAATTTCTTGACATTAAGGCAAAAATTAGATTTGACTGCTGTCGCATCCATGTCTGTAGTAGTCAGTTTCTTAGTTTTTGCAGTGTTCATCGTCTGAAGATCATGGGACATATGTTTCTGCATGCTCTGGATGCCTGAACACAAAATAATAGCATTGGAAAACACGGAGGGCACTACAAAATTGTGTCATGTTTGTACACACCATCGGCCCTTTATGTTTGAAAATATGGTTCAGTTTAAATAGCTGTAGTGTCAATTTGCCAAAGACATACTTTATGGGAAAATAACATTTGCAAAAAATCATTATAAAGAACTGTAAATGCCATACGAGCCTGACAGTCCAAACTTCATTTGTGGTATGTTTGTAGACAAAGCCTAGTTAATGTTATAAAAATATATACTATTTGAAATAAAAACAGACAACCTCACAATCTGAAAAACGTTTTAAAACAGAAAAATGTCCATTTAATTATTTTACTCCAGATGAAAGTTAAGAAAATTATCAACGTTTTGTCTGCAGGGTATTTTGCTTTATTTAGATCCGATGACTGACATGACAATATTGAAAACATTTTGCAAGATCTTTCCACTTTCTTCTGTTTCCAAATACAAGGCATTTAATTTCCCCAAGTTATGATTTAAATGAAACATGATTTTAATCTTGTTTTTGATACTTATAATATCTCAGCCTCCAATGGCATATTCCTACAAAGCTATGAATGTTATTAAAACGCCCCTTTAAAGAACCTGCATTATCTACTGGTTCTTAACCTAAGGCTTTCATTATATCTATTCAATTGATTGTCAAAAGATTTTTATTTTTTATTTTAAGGTCAATAAATCAGAACATTTTTTCCTTAATTTTAATTCATAATGATTCTAGAAAGGAAAGATTCATAATTACCTCAATCTAGAGAATAAAGCAGTGTATGACAAAGAAACTTACAAAGGGATGTCAAATATATGTGCCTTAAAGTATCTATATGTTATGAACCGTTTTTCAACTACCATGCATTATTTTTTTCTTTATTTTTTTAGAACACTCCATTTAAACATGCCATTTGACAAAAAAAACTTGAAATTGGCCATGATTGGAATTTTGCTACAGTTCCATTTTCTGTAGTTTTAATTTCCCTGACATCAAAATACTTTTAAAGAAATAAAGTGTGGGTTACTTATATTCATTTTTTTTTCATGTTTAACTATCTATTGTAAAGAAAGGGACAACATATTTTAACATTTCTCCTACTGAGTGCACTGATTACTTTGATTTTAACACAAAATTTGTATTTTTATTACAGAAAAGCTGCAATAGTACTTGGTAAGTAAAGAGGACATACATTACTTTGTAATTATGATATTAGAATGGATAAACTTGTTTAAAAAGTCTGAAAGTGCTAAAATGTTACTAGTAAGAGCCACATGGCAATGTTATATAATTTATATACAGAGCATGTGGATCACTCTTCTCAGCTGGTACTGGCTGGTTTCTCTTCTGCATAAATCTGCATAAAATCACATAAATGAATGCACTTCAAACTGCCCACTAAAAAGAACCTTCCAGACTTACGTTCTGTAAAACTCAAGTTTGATCAACAACATCCCAAGATATTAGGTGGTTTCATTTCTGTCTTCTAACAAGGAAACTGGAAGAAAAAGCCCTTAAACTTAAATTTCACAATAACATGCAATAGAAATGTTCTATTTCTCAAATCAGTAATTTACACCTGTGCAATTTTCTAGGCTGCTTCTAACTTGCCCAGCAATTCTAACTCTCCTGTAATCGCGATTTATTCTGAATACAGTACTTCACTGTTGGCTAGTTTACTTCCAGGAAGCAAGGAAGCAGGACTATACAGTATCTTAACATAGTCATTGATGAATATAAGAGCAGCATTCAATCAGCATTTCTGTAACTGCTTCATTTAGTACTCATTTCTAAAACATTCTTCCTATTACCAAGCAAGAAGCAGCTTCTTGTAGTGTGAAAACTTCAGATAAGCTTGCCTCTCGTTTGCTGCTGAATCGGAAGGGTGAAAATTAAGGTTATTTTGTCCAGCAAGTTATACAAAGAGCATATTAGTGTCTCGTTTCTGCCAGTTTCTTCCTTTGCTATGATAAGCAACCTCCCAGGTTAAAATAGGTAGAAATCAAGTTTACAATAAACAGAAATGCGATCATTATAAAGTGCTTTAAATATTTACTGTATATGGAAGAAAAATCTAAGTTAGAAAAACAGGCATTAATAGCACTACATAGACTTGCCAGCATTTTTCACCCTTAGTACAGCCTTTGAACTCAGCAGAAAGCAAAGTGTTAATTTATGAAAATGCAATTGTGAACAATGTAAGGTGTTTCAGGGAGGTCTCCTGGTGAGCCCTGTTCAACAACTGTAGCACTGTTGTACGCCTTCATTCTTCAGTTTTCAATTTTTATTTCTTCATGATGGATGAAAGCTCCAAGATCATGCTCTGAAAAAAGAAAAATAAGACTTTTCAGGTGTGATTCCTTGGTATTAACAGTCTACCTGATATGTAAGAGTGTACTTAGAGTTTAATTCTTTTAAAATGTAAATATAAAAGAACAAACTTAAAATGTACTGCATTATTAACATGCTAGTTGGTATAATTAAATACAGTTGTACAGCTTATTCACATTGAAGACTGTTGGTAAAATAGAGGAACAACAGTTTTTTTTTTATTAGGCACGCTTTGCAATACACGCTATCAGAAAAAAGTTTGTTGGTACCTTGGAACATTTTTTGAACATGAAATGTGAGATTTGTGTGCTTAGGTCACTAATCAGGTTCATATTTAAGCCCCACTTCACAGAAAAGTTACGTATAAACTTCAAAACTTGAGATTGGACTTCAGAAATGTTACTTCTTTTTAAATGGTATTTCTTTTTTTGGAGTTCTAAAACTTTTTCTTGGAAAATGAGAATTGGTCTTCATTTTCACAGCTTACAGGTCACATGTGTAAAACTGCATTTTTAACTGCATGCCTATTTGGCAAATTAGCTCATTTCATTATTATAACAATAAACTAACAAGTGATAGGTTTATTCCAAATTGAAAAGAGAAGAAAGAAAACACAACGTTTTGGCTGTGGAGCCTTCTACTTGTTCCTTTGCAGCCTACGCATGCTGGCGCAGCTACCTACCTGAACTACAATAAAACTAATGTCCATTGCCGGCATTGGTCATAGTAGAACCATCAATAATAATGTATCATTTTGAGCTCATCTTACACTCGCCTGATACTCTTGTCAAAACAATATTAATTCGGCACATATTTGCATAAAGCTGGGTATTTGGGAATAAATATTTGTGTGATGAAAGTTGACCAAAAGTACAAAACCAGTTAAAGTCTGGAACCAAAACCTTCCCCGCCCAGCGCAAGAATAATTATGAGGAACGAGATGTCATTATTATGCGTTATACTTTAAAATGTCAAATTTACTATATAAATCTGTGGATTATCATTTGTATACTTCTGGTGTCACTCATATAATCAGTGAATGCGTTCATCTCTAAGAGGAGAAGGAGAGTTGACCGATTTCGCCGTTAGCGCCCTTTTCGCTATTTCCCAGAAACGTGTTTCGGCCAGGCGAAAGTAAATCGTCAGGGTTTGAGAGCTTTAGAAACGGACAACGGCCGACAGAGTCGGAACTCAGGCGTTATGTTAAAGAGGGGGGCAATTATAATATCTTTTCCAAGGTGATCGGATCGGAAGGCCCGGCGGGTCTTGTGGTTCGTCTACTTGCCATGGACATTCTCCTCCCCGACGGAGGAGGGGTGATCGGTGGGCTTTCTCCTTTTCCCAGCCGCTTGGATTCGGATCCAGAGCCGCTTCTGGAGTCGGGGCTGGCGGACCGACTCGCCAGCTTGCTCTCCGACACCACCCTGGACATAAAACTCGCCTTCCTGGTGGAAGGGTAGTGCCCGCTGTCCGGAGAATCGCTCCGGTCCTCGCTGTAGTCCTTGCCGCAGCTCACCCGGCTCTGGATGCGCAGCGCGTTGCGCACAGCGGCGGGGATTTCCAGCTGGCTCGACTGGAAAGAAGCCTTGGCAGAGGGGGCGCCGTGCTTGGAAAGGTTGTAGTTCTTGGGACACATGCCGTTATGGTGGAACCTGCTATTGGAGTCATCACTGCTGCACGAGTGGTCCCGGTTTTCTAAAGTATTGCGGCTTTCCGAAGTTTTCTCCTGGTGTTGAGCGCGGAGGTCTCCGTGACTGGCTTCTCGGAAGTGCCTTGGCTGCGGTTCGGGGCCGTCCGCCTGGTCTCGGCCCCCGCAGTTGTTGTTGTTTCTCAAAACCTCGTTGTTGGCGTCACTGGGCCCATTCAACGTTTTAAATCCAGCCGAGGGCATGTAAATGGGCAGGGGTTCCAGCTGTCCCTCCTGAAGGATTTTGTACGTTGTCTGCGTCAATGGCATCACTTTGTGTGGCGAAGAGTTCGTGAGTACGCACACTTGCTGGACCATAGAGTTTTTCTTGGATTTGCAAACGCTGTCTTCGTCGGCGCCTTGCTTCCCGTCGATCCCGTAGAGACTTTGCTTGATTTTTTTCACTCCCAGGTGGGAAATTTCAAGAAGGTTCAGAGACAGCGAAACCGCAGCAATGCTAATCATAAAAACCATGAAAACGGTTTTTTCGGTCGGCCTGGAAACGAAACAATCCACCGCGTTTGGGCATGGCATCCTTTCGCATTGATACAACGGATCCAGCTGGATTCCGTACAAGACGTATTGGCCCACCATAAAGCCAACTTCGACCACTGACCTTGTTAGGATATGGATAACATACGTCCGTAACAAGGAGCCCCTTAGAGGTGCTTTGTTGACTTTCTTCTGCTCTTCCAACTTTCTCAGTTCTCTCTCCAGTCTTTTGTGCTCCTCCAGAAGAGGTTCAATCTCCTCCAGTTCAGCCCTCAGCTGAGCCTTTTTTTTCTGCCTTTCCTTCTCCAGCGCTCTCAGCCGGTAGAGTGCGTGACCCATGTACACCAGGGAGGGCGAAGAGACAAAGATGATCTGCAGTACCCAGTACCGTATCAGGGAAATGGGGAAAGCCTTGTCATAGCAGACGTTTCTGCACCCGGGCTGCTGCGTGTTGCAAATGAATTCGCTCTGCTCGTCGTCCCAGACATCTTCAGCCGCCACTCCCAGAACCAGCATCCGGAATATGAAGAGGATGGTCAGCCATATTTTCCCCACTATGGTAGAGTGAATGTGGACTTCTTCCAAGATGCTGCCGAGCAAGTTCCAGTCCCCCATTTTTCAGTGCCGCATTTCCTTACAATAAAAAGAATCAAGACTGTCAGACGCCAGGCACAAAACGGAGTTAAATACAAGGGGTGAAGTTCAACATCCAGGTACTTAAAAAACGACATACAAAAATGTAATTTAGGATCTATTCCAGTCTGATCATCCTGCATGGAATAGATGTTTTAAGTCCAGAATTCACCTGCTACACAGTACACCCCTGCACTCCAAATGCCTAACAGCTCCTGGGATGCAGAGTTGAGAATATATAGAAATTGATCTTTAGTTGACTGAACAATGCCTTGCAGCAAGATTTACCATGCAACTGTTGCAAAGCGCACTGCCAGCCTAACACGTAGTTTCTGGTGCCATCAATAACACATTTCTGATCTCTAAACCTTATAAGTGTTCGTTTAATTTCACATTTCTACAGTAGATTCCATATTAGCTTTCAAAGGGGTTGTTTGAAAAGTAAAGCATTTACTTTTCTAGACCTCATAAATCAACGATGCAAATCCCTGCCTATTCTAATGCCTAATCTGTGCTGTGTACAGCCAGACAAGATGATCAATAAGTCATGTCCGATTTCATAGTCAGCTGCATGGTGGTTCTATTTTAAGCCACGGTTTGTCTACCAGTCATATGAATAAAACGCCCAAGTACAAACGTGTAAAACCTTTAAAAGTATTCAACCAAATTCACTCTGGTTCATTTTGTGGTGTTCTGAAGCTGTCACCCAAGCTGAACCCTATTAAATATGGCGAGTACGTTTTTAATGCAAGAAACAGTTTCAGGTGGGTCACCTAGCGCATCTGAACGCATTAAGAATTTTGAACAGGATAAAAATGTACTAGCCACATGTTTTAATCCATTCTAAAAAGAGAAAAAGAAGAATTAAGGAATTGCTGACTTCCTTTTAAATCTTATAGCTGTTAAAACCATGATAAACCACTACTACTGCATAACAAGACAATACCATGATGAGGTTCAGGGTCTTCTGCATGTTTTTTTAGCAAATATTTTACAAGAGCTTAGGGAGGTGTACATCGGAAAATACGACAAACAAAAAATACAAGCTATGCATTTAATGTTTTCTTAACATTTTGGTATCTGGAGATTTTACAGTTAGAACTCTGAGGCTTAAGTGATAAAGCAGCAGCGATACAACCCAAAAAGAAGTGATGTTAAAAGGTTTTGAGGGATAAACTGGAAATTATATCTCCAGAGAGGACTGAACAATTCCAGTTCTTGAGGCAGGTTTACTGTTAATTGTTATTCCAACACCTTACTCAAATGATTACTGAAACATGTTTAATATTAAAAGTGTAATTATTATGTCTGACAGAATTATGTCTGACCTCACTCACCCCAGTCATAACTTGTTTGTTCCCTTACCATCTGGTAGAAGGTTCCGGACGCTCCAGTCACACACAACTAGACTCCAAAATAGCTTCTTCCCCAGAGCCGTCAAGCTGGTGACGCCCTCCAATCATACTATGATCTCTCCTCACTACTTCCTGTACCCACAATGACTGTACTCCACCACCACTACATACACGACAACAATGTAAGCCGAAATTGTACTTTCTGTAAACCAGTAAAACTGTACTGGTTGTACTATTCATGAATCACCATACTATTTTTTTTCCCTGTTCGCCGTATTACCTTCGCACTGTTTTTGTCTCTGCGTATTTGCACAATTTTTGACAATTTTGCACCGGCACTATGCTGTTGTTTACACTGTTATTGTTATTGTACGTCTGTCTATTGTCTTGTCCGCTGGTCTATATGTATACACTGCACCTGCGAGACTAATGAGAAAAACTTTCACTATACTATGCACCCGTGTACCTATAATGACATCGAACTGAAAATGAGAAAAGAGACTCTGGCCCAACCCTCACCCAATAGATCAACATCCATCCATTTTCTAACTGCTCCACCCAATGGAGGGAGCACAAGCCTTACCCAGCATGCAGCGTGCGCTAGCTGGGGAACACCTTGGACGTGACCCCAGCCCATGACCGAGTACATGAAGACAGGGACACGCGCACACTCGCACCAGGGCCAGTTTCTCAGAAGACGATTAACCAAGTGAGGAGAGACCACAGTATGATGGGAGGGAGTGGGGGCATCACCTGTCTTCATGTACTCTGTCGTGGACTGGGGTCACGTCCAAGGTGTTCCCCACCTAGCGCACGCTGCAAGCTGGGTAAGGCTTGTGCTCCCTCCATTGGGTGGAGCAGTTAGAAAATGCTTTGACTTGATTTGATTTGATTGAACCTACCCGTATGTCTGTAGACTGTGTGAGACATTGGAGCACCGGGAGGAAACCCATGTGGACACAAGGAAAACAAACTCCATGCCGATAACACCCCATGTCCGGAATTGATCCCCGAGAAAAACAGCTGACCTGGTTCAGGGATCCGTTACTCGTGTCCGGGAGAGCTGCGGGATCTTCTGGTTTTCACTACACCCGGGTACTTACGGGCGGAGCAGTGGCTCTGTGGCTAAGGATCTGCGCCTGTGACCGGAAGGTTGCCGGTTCAAATCCCGCGGGCGGCAGAGGAATCCTACTCCGTTGGGCCCCTGAACAAGGACCTTAACCCCAACTGCCGTACAACCCCAACAACCCCAACCCCTGCGCTCTGACCCCAAGCTTCTCTCCCTGTCTCTGTCTGTGTCTCCCTGTAGAAAAGCTGGGGTATGCGAAAAGACGCATTCCTAATGCAAGAAATTGTATAGGGCTAATAAAGAAACGTTATTAATGGGTTAATTGGATTGATCAGTTTAATGCTACCGAATAAGCAAGGATTAAGACTAAAACCTGCAGGACTCTGGATTTCCAGGATCACCTCTGCAGACTCCTGGTGTATTTCTTGCAGATGTTCAAAAGAACATCAGAAAAAACACTTGTAGGAACATGTATTATAACATGAAGTTTTTATAATCTTTCCCCATTGAATTTATTTAATGTTGAATAAATGCTTTCGTCTCAAATTTTCTAAAATGGATCAACAATCCAGTCAGCAGAAATAAATTAATTTATTTTAAAACATTATGAAAAATATATACAACATTCACAGTTAGGCTTTGATTGCAATGAACAGAAATTTCAGATACTGATGAGTTAAGTCTTACTGCTCTTCAACGTTATCAAAATGTACACAAAATAGATAATGGCAATTGAAATAAAAAAGCAACTTTACACAGAAAAAAAATCCCTATATTTTATGTACAAGTATTTACACAGCAGTTGTATTATACAAGTTAACATTTTTAGTTATATTGCTTGGCATTTTTCAAATATAAACTTTAAAAAGAAGACTGGCTTAAAAACATCAGTTAAAACTTCAGAAAGCAAGAAAGCCTGGATAGTCAAAAGATAATTTTGACATCACAATTTGACACCATTAACAAAGAAAACTGGGCATAAAACCCAGAAAGTCATTTCCAGTGCCATTTTTAAGTATTTAACCATGTTTTAAACAAACAAAAACTGGAAAAAACATGCATACTTTTCAACTAATTTTCCAAATGTCTAAAGTACTACCTGAATATTTTTCATTATGTGAGCACAGATATTTAGAATGGGCAATAAATATCCTCATTTGATGACACTTGAACCTTATGGGATACAATCCAGCATGGTGTTTCTAAACACATACCGAAATAAAATACGAGCAAATGTCAACTGTAAGGCTGAATGCTGAAAGTCTAGTCAGTGAACCTGTGGATTCTGACATTTGTATGGTCCAGCAATGAAAAGTGATTTAAAAACATACTGAGACACAGCATAATGAAACATGATGGAAGAATTCCGTCTCTGTAGTTTGCAGACAATTTATTAGCTGCGTTAATACTTAAATTTTAAACTTCAAAGCCAATGCACTTTCATAGCAAAGTAAATGAGTAGAAATCATTCAAGTGTTAACTGAAGTTATTCCCTAACTAAAAGCTGTTTAAAACATTCAGCTGTCTTTTTGAAATTGCATGCACTGCTCTTCTAACAACGCTGCTAAAAAGCATGTGCATTAATCAAAATAGGACATCCTGTTAAGCTTTGTGGGTCTTGATAGAAAAATCAAAATGAGGTAGAATTTATTTTTAAAAAGCAGCTAAATGAAGTATAATCAAGCCTGCAGATATACAGTAACTCCAGGGACTGACAATGCAGATTAACTAGGTTTGAGAACTTTAACAAATATCTCAGCACACTTTTCGCAATCTGCCAAAAGTGCAATGCTTATGAGAAATTCACATTATACAGCTGTTTCAGTTAATTCAGTACTTGAAAATGCACTACGATTCTCAGTCATTTAAAACTGAAAAACGTTTTCGTTCAAAAACATTACATCTTGTTTCTTTTACCCCACTAGGTGTCATCATTTCACACAATTTCATTACAGTATTCAGCTGGAATGATTTCTGCCTCTCTCAGAATTCTGTGTATCTTCATGCCATTATGAAGTTCGAGTTCAAGCCTTTTCAACACCTGAAGAAACAAAGGTTTGTGCTAAACATTTTTTCCCCCTCCTGTCGTTCTCAGTGCTGAACTTGATCTTGAGTTTCTTTACAGATTTTTTCTGGCAATGCACTTTCAGTTTAGCCAGATGTCCTGGAGAAAAAAAAAGCCATTTTAAAGCCACAGAAAATACATCTTTCCCATTGTGCTGTGTAGCACAGCATCAAAAGCCCTTGTAATTTTTAGGTCCTTGTAGGACTGTGATGCTTTCTTTTTCCTGAGGATACAGGCGTGTGCATCTGTAGATCAGTAACCCACGCAGATCCACCTTCTTACTTCCTGCGTCCTCAGAACACGGACAGGCAGTGAGACGCACAGTCTTCCAAGCCACAGTGTTCCTGACCCATGCCGCCAATACTGTGATTCTGTGGCTGCATTCTCACTTCCACATGTGGAAACTCCACACTGCTTCATCCTGCTGTCATTGCCTTTCCCACAAGGCCTGAAGGAAGTCAGTTTTTCATTCGCTCCCTCTTTTTGAAGAGTTTCATCAGCTGGCAGAACCTCTCGGCAATCTAGAAAAGAATAATGAAGAAACTGACCATACACCTCACTTGATAAGACTCTCTCTCAAGACATGCTTAACACTGCAGACACAGTTACAATTGCACTAGTTGTTGAAGAGCAGATCTAATAATGTATTTGTCGTACGGCACCTTGCAAAAATATTCACCGCCTGCGATTATCTCATTTTGCTGAATTGCAAATGTATACACATCTTTTCAACACTTGTAAGCAAAACTTCAATGATTAAACTGAACACTTGTACATGTGAAAGGTGACAGATACACTTTTTGCAAACTGTAGATGTAAAAAACTAAAGAAAAACTGAGATAAAATATTAATTGCACAAGTTTTCACCTTTTAGCTCCGACAAGCCTAAATTAGTCCATAGACACAAAATTAACTATGGCCAAGTCATAATTAGTTGTATCCTCTCCGTCTGTGTGCAATAATAGTGGTTCATATGATTCCAGAATACAATAACCCATTAACCTGTCTCTGTAAGGTCCCTTAGTCAGTCAATTTCAAGCAAAGATTTAATCACGAGGACCAAGGAGCATTCAAAACAACACAGGGATAAATTTGTAGAAGGGTACAGATCAGGAGAAAGAGATTTAAAAAAATTCAAAGACACTAAAAATATCGTTTCAAGCATGGAGAAGTTGATCATCAAGAAGTGGAACGTGCATCGTACCACTGACCACAAACTGCCTAGATCAGGATGACCTTCCAAACTGAGCACGGGCAGGGAGGAAACACGTTAGGGATTCTGCAGTGAGGACAAAGGAGTTTTTTGAAAGGGCTATAGAGTTCAGTAACTAAGAGGGGAGAAAATTCAGCTTGTCCAGCTGCTCTGTTTGGAAGGCTAACTGCAGTAGGTCAGTTGTATAATGCACATACCACTTCAAACTTTGCAATTTTCTTGTAACCTTCTCTTGATCTGGGCTTCTCTACTACTTTAACCATGACTGGCCCTTAGCCTTCATGCTTGGCCTGTCAAATCATTGTGGGAGCTATGGTTTGACATTCAATATCTAACTGAGGGGATATACAGAGGCAGATACATTTGCTCTGAAGTCAGGTTAAACTTCTGATTGCACACACCTTTCAAACTATTTCTTTATAACTGTACTGATTTAGGTTTGTCATAGCAAAGGCGGTGAAAAAGGCCAAAGAGAATCATCTTATTTTCCTGATTTCCTTATTTACCAACATTTGTTTTAACTTGATCAGCTTGGAGTTAACTGTGTAGATGCTAAATGTAAAGTCCTATTGGAAAGTGTCACAACAGCTACATTTTGTTGCCATGTGAGTGTGCTAGGTACCATAATTAAAAAAAAATTGTAACGAGATTTCTGGATGAAAGAAATATTGTTATTCTGCAAACAGGTGCCAGGTGAAGAGCAAATAGTTACTGAAATATATGGTGTAAAGAAACAATTATTCAGTCTTTACAGCAGGCATAAAAACCAGTGGTACTTTTTTTTAAATCCCAGTGATATAACTCTTTTGCATGTGAAGGAAACTGCAATTACCTGAGATGGTGACTTGTTTAGATCTGCAGAAAGAGAAGAGAAGGTTTCTTCAGAAGCACCTTTCCTCTTGAGCTCAACCAGAATAGTGCGATCATCATCCCTGCAGGAAACACGCCAGGAGTGTATGACTACAGAGTGTACTGGATATTAACACTGGCTTGAACATCTCTAACAGAGCTAAAGCAAAGCACCATTTTTATAACAAACTCAAGGAAAAAGTGACTTTTTGTGATGCGTTTTGCATAAATTCTGGTAAAAACTGGGAATGAGCACAGCATGATTTCACTAGTTTATGTCTCACTAAAGGCAAACCCAAAAGGATGGCCAATAGTCTTTGACTTTGCCACAGTCTGAACCATATTTGGTCAATCAGTCTCCATGAAGAGCTGCCGGTGGTGGGTGTTACCTGTGACTTGGCAACAGATCTTGCCGATTTCAACAAAGAATTCTGGTCTTAAATTACAGACTTGAAACAATTACATATTCAGGATATCAATACTGAACAATATCAGCAAAATATCAACATCACTGGTGTCCATCATTAAAAAGAGAGCTGTGCACAAGTGTACAACTGAAGCCCCCAGCAATCTTTTAACATCAACTGAGACAAAACTAACAATTAAGGACTCTGCACCCTGTCCGTGACTGATGGAAGGAAGCAGTGAATACAATGGTTGAAGAACAGGGGCCAGCAAAGCAGTTACCTGGTCCACGCCACCACCACTTCGCCCTTCTTCTTGACGACGTTCTTGGCGGAAAGGCTGTTAGGCGACACCGCGAGAGAAGATCGTTCCTTCGCCTTGGTTTTGGGGGACTTCCGCGCCTTATCCACGTTCTCCTTGGACCTCCTCCTCTTCTTCGGTGTGGCGCGTCTCTCCGGGCTCGCGTCCGTCTTGGCCCTCTTTGCCTTCGGCGCCGAGTGACGCCTCTTCCGTTTCTTGGCGACGCGGTCGTCGCTACAGTCCTGACCGGCCTCCCCGCCGTTCTCGTCAGGAAGGGGCGGCTCTTCAGAAGCTCCAGCGGAGTCATCTTCCTGGGGGTCCGGTAATTTCTTTGCAGGGTCCCCGGGTATATGCTCACCGTTTCCACCGCGCAAGTCGACCTCTTGACCGAGGGGGCTGCCGCCTGGAGCCGGGAGCTCTGACGGAGTTTTGTCAGTGAGGGAGGCATCTGTTCCATCACGACTCGGACAAGGGGCGTCAGAACAAGACGCCACAGCCGTGCTTGGGCACGCGTTACCTGGTTGTACTTCCGAATTTTCAGAGGCGTTCAGTGGCTCATTTTCATCGCTTGGAGCATCCTGATCCGGCCCAGTGGAAGTGTGTCTTATTCTGACAATAAAATGGTCATTTGATTTCTCCATCACTACTGCCTGCATGGGCAAATGGGGTTTAAACTGGAAACTTGGTGGATCTTCTTGCCTCGTGCTGCCACCTTCTGACCTACTACTAGAGTTGTCAGAGTCCAAGGCCAAGTGGATATCTTGCTCAGTTGCATCTTCTTCATCCAGTAAGGCATCTTCGCTGTAATGGGCTCTAAGAACACTATTTGGTGCCAGTGGGGCTGCTCCGTTTACGGGGTGTAGGAAGCTTAAGTGGCTGTCCGATTTGAGAGGAGAAGGAATGGTGAGAGAAACTGCTAGATCTTCAGCCAAAACTGAATACGATCTGAGGGTAACAGTAGAGGATGGTGCAGCTTTGTTAAAAAGCATATTAGATGGGTCTTCCAGCATGCAGCTCTCATCCAGCACAGCTGGATTCAAGGGAACCCCCGTTTTAGGGCTCAAAGACAGGAATTTCTCCGGGGTCATGGCTGACCAAGGGATGAGTGCTGCCGTTTTTAGGGGTGTTAAAGTCTTACTTGGAGTGGCCAACCCCACAAAACTCTCCCCACAGGGGGGTTCTTTTCGAGGAGTGCTAATGGGCCAGTTATGGTTGTCTCCCCCAGGAACATTGTGCTCCAAAAGGTCTGAACCTTGTAGCAAACACTTAAAGATTTCACCCATTTGAGAATCTGTAACAAGGTTGAAGGTTAGGCTAGATGCCTGTTGCTCTGTAAGGATCTCATAGTCTGACTTATCATGGAGTGCACTATTATGGACGGTTCGACAATGGCTTTCTGTTGAAGACACATTTTTGGGGGCCATGGCTGCAGAGTGTTTGCTAACAACTGCTGAGTCTTGCTTATCTGGGATCAACGGACTACACTGCTCTTCTGGTTTATGAATTTCATCCTCCATGGCAATTTTCAGATTTTTGCCTCTGCTTCCTAAGCCTCTTTTCATAGAGTTCATGGTTGAGGACTGAATTTTAAATTCCTGTGTTTTAGATTCAGATACAGCTATTTTTTCCTTGCCTTTGGAAACTAGTTTTGGAGAGTTTGTTGCCTGGTGCTCTTCTTTATTTCTCTTCTGTTCTACTTTCCTTCTTGCTGTGCTTGATACTTCAGGGTCAGAGGATTTGCACATGTTGACGAGATTAGTCTGGAGTTCTTTGAATAAGAAATCAAACTGATCTTCGACAAACATCCAAAGCTTTTTCTTAAGATTAGGGGCCTGCTGTTCAAAGATGCGGTTCACTATACCATTGTTGGAAATCTTTTTGAGAGTGGTTGAAATAATCTTGCACAGCCTGGACTTCAAATTGTTTTCCAGGCTGCAGAGTTTAGTACAGTTCAGGTTATTAACAAAGTCTGTAAACTCCCAAAGAGACATGTCAATGATGCTGTAGAAAGTTTTTTTCGGAAAGCTTTTCTGAAGCTTCATATATTTTTTCCGTATTTGCTTGCGTATGAATTTTAACATGTCCATGACATCATGTATACTGGAAGGATCTGTTTTGGGCAAAAAAGGCAGAACTGTGCGAAAGCGTCTCTTGTTGGAAGGTGACCCGTTAGGTGTAGGAGAGATGGTTTTATTTTTCTTGGCAGGGATTGTTTTAGAAACTGGTGGGCTCTTAGCATGCTTCCTCTTTGGCAGAGTCGGTTCTTCTGGGCTGGATAACTTTGTTCTGCTTTTCTCTGGACTCTGTTTACCCTGCTGGGGACTGGTGATGACTGAAACCTCTTCTGCTTCACTGTTGCTGACTATCTCTCCTTCCTCTAACTCTTCCTCGTCTGAAGAAGAAGAGGAAGGTGGGGTGTCCTCAGTGTCTTTTAATGGGTCTTGCAGCAAACTGCAGTCTGGTTTCTGATTCTCCTTGTTCACTTCCATCATTTTGGAGTTTAAAGTGAAGATCCCAGGCACAGTGGATAGCTCTTCAGCAAATAGGAAAACAAAAGATTGCATCAGAAAAGGTATAAGAAACATCTAACATAAAATTCATCATACAGATGTCAATTACCTGAAACTAATAACTAATAATAAACAAGTCTGTCATGCAAAAAATAAAACTGCAGCAAAAACAGGAGAGGAAAAATCATTTTCCAAAGTTGATCCAGAATGAAAATTGTAACATGCCAAGAAAAAATATAAAAATGTAATTGAACTAAAACATTTAATTAAAATCACTTAGTACTTTAATTTACATAGAACAATGTTCAGATAATGGACAAACCCGGTTCTTGTTCTGTTTACTACAGAAAAAAAAGTTACACAATTAAAAGCAAATAAGCCCAAATAAAAAAAGCTGGAAACATACCTTTGCTCTGACTCCTAACATACGGTGCCTTGCTAGGTGAGCAAGGCCCTAGACTTCTCTTGGCAGGCCGGACAGGACTTGTGAGGGGGCTAATAGCTACAGGCATTTTTGGGATATTTTTGAGTGCGCCCATCATGGAGTCTTCATCGCAAAGCTGAATTTCTGCCAGCCGGTCAGACACTGGCTCCGGGGCAGACGGCTCAAGATCCCGTTTTTCATCTTTGGTAGAATCTGGTTCTAAATTACGGCTGGTCCTTTCCGTCTCTTCCGAGCTCTGGCAAGGTTCCTGCAGCTTGGAAGAACTAACCGAACCCTCGTCTGCAGGCACCATCTCAGCAGCCGAGGTGGAGCTCAATCTGGGCACATCTGGGACTTGTACTTTCTGCGGACTGAGATGGGCGTCAGGCGTTTCTTTTCCTTTTTCTTTTGCGGCAACCGAACAAGAAGGAGCAGTACATTCACCCGTGTCTGAAACAGCTGCAGCACTGAAAGAACTCTGAGATTCCACTTCTATGCTGACGGTACTGGACACCGTAGCGTTGCTGTCTTCTGTGTTCAGTGTAGCATCCTGGACACCAGCGCCAACAGTAACAGGGCTGTTTGCGTCATCTAATGTAACGGTCTGTGTCTGTATAACAGCTGAACTGTTCTGGCTCTCTGAGTTAACACTGTTCTGTGCCTCACAGTTTTCCTGAGATGCATCCATCAGGCTTTGAGTATCCTGGGCTACTGAATCACAGGCTTTGGAATCTGAAGTTTTCTCTTTTAAATGCTGAGGTTCCCATGCATGGTGATCAGTATCCACAGCTAGACTTTGAACCGAAGCGTCACTTTGGGAATCACAATTAACAGACTCACTGGGCGGTTTTAAAAGTAAGTCAGAGCCCCGAATTTCTGTGTGGGAGTCGGAACCACTGGGAACTGGGTTTTTCTCCGATTCAGTACTTTTGACCTCCAGTTCCATTTCATCAGGCACTTCTGTTTCAGCAGTCTCCGAGGCTACTTCTTGATCCAGCTCTCTTCCCGCTTCACACTCCGGATGTATATTGGCGACGTTGAGCTGGACTTGTTCCTTTTCATGAGGTGTCCCACATTGCCCTCCGGTACTCAGTGGTGCAGTGGACGAAGGTTTCTCTATGGGATCGGTTGCAGTGCAGCTTGAACTGATCTCTGCCTGAAATCCAATAACCTCCTCTGCATGTTCTAAAGACTCACTGCTAGTTTCAATCTCATCTATGACGCAATATTTCTCCCCTAACTCAAACAAACTGGGCTGTTCCACTTGACTCTCCGGAACTCCCTCTTCTGTAACACAGTTACTTGGTTCCAAGCTTTCAGTGAAAAGTTTTGGTTTCTTCACGGGTGAAAGAGTGAGATTCAGAGTTTCCATGAAGCTTAATTTTTTAAACTTCCTACTGTCTTCAGGGCTTTTTACATGTTCACCTTCACAAGTCCTGACAACAGTCTCTAACTTGTCCACTGTGTTTGCTTGGGTTTCCTTCTCCCTCTGCTTGACGCTTTTGTCCACAACTGTTTTCTCCACTGGTGTGCGGCTTTCTTTAACAGGAGAATGCCTGCCAGAAGAAGAGACATCCTTGTGCCTACTAGATTTAGGAGAGCAATCAGACGGTCTTTTCTCTTCATCTTTTCTTACTTCCGAACTTCTCTCCCTTTTATCCTTCTGCTTTTCTTTTGCTCTCTCGTGCTTCTTGCTAGCCTCCTGCCGTCTCCCTTTTGCGTCATCTCTCCTCCTCTCTTCTTTCCTGTGCTCCTCTCTCAGGGGGCTTCTGTCCCCCTTCCTGCTTAAGGAGGAACTTAAAAGTTTGTCTCGGTGGCGATTTTGATGTGAGCTCGATGCGGTCTTTCCTTCCTTGCCACCAGCCTCATGTTGCTTTTTCTCTGAGCGCTCCTGGTCTTGGCTCTGTCTCTTATCCCGACTGCTGTTTCTCGTCTGAACTTCGCCGTCTCTGACGCGGCCCTTTGAACCATGTGAATCGGCAGTCGCCTGCTGAGAGCTATCAAACGGGGGGCTTTTCCCTCTTCCAGATCTCCTGGGTAGCTCAGAAACCCTCTCCGGGTACTGGCTTCTCCTTCGGCTGTATTTCATACTCTCTTTATCGGAGTCTCTAGGTTCTCTGTCTGGTTTTTCCCTGTCTTTCGTTTGATCCGCCTTGTTCAAATCTTTATCAACCTTATTCTTTTCTTCGGGGTACCGGAGCTTTGCTCTCCTGCTTTCTGGAGGTTCTGCTGGTGGTTTCTGTCTCTTGTCATCTTCTAAACAAGACTTGTTGGACAGACCAAGTTCCTCTCTGCATAAAGGCACCAGGCTTCTTGAGTCCTTACTACAGCTGTCAGCAGTTGAAACAGCGTGTTTACTGGACACTAGTGAATTCACACTACACCCTGCACTATTATGAGGGCTGGGTATTATAACAGAGTTTTCTATATTCAAAGTTCCATCTGTGTGACTAGAAGTATTGTCCTTGTGCATCTGTTGAGATGCATCCCTTGAAGTGCAGTTAACTCGGGTTTCATATGTTCCAACAGGTGCTTGTGGTTCTGTGTAACTCCGTCTCTTGTTACTAATGTTCATCATTGGCCGAGGAAGACAATGGCTGAATCCGCCACGAACAGATCTGAAAACCAGCACAAGTGATCAATTAATTTTCCCCTGTTTTTACAGAGTTCTTTTCAATGACAAGTCGTATAATTTCCAAGTGGGAGGAACCACAAATTCTACCACTTATATGTAACTGAATCACTACTGCTTCAGCCTTAAATTTAGACTAAAACAATATAATATAATCAAGGCCTCCAGTGCATTCATCCATTTTTAAAATCTGCTAGAAGAAAAACAAGTATTTTTGTTTTCACATTCATTGCTCCCATTCAAATCATTAAAATGAAACTCAGTAATGGAACAGCAAAATCGTTCCACATCATTACCTAATTAACCTGATCAATTGTACTCTAACTTTGACATCTTTTACTTAATTTTATAGAACGCCCATCTTCTGGAGGAAATTTGATAGTTTTTTTTCAAGCAGGATGCCTTTAAACTAACCACATTTTGCATTATGCTGAGGCTTTAGTACAAACTTACCTTTGATTAAGTCTGTTGATCTCTTCGTCCTTGCGGATGATCTCCATCCGAGCCGTCTTGAGCAGGGAGCATATGTTCTTCTTCAGATGTGCGTTTTCGTTATGCAGAGCGATGTTCTTTTAAGACAATGACATTTCAAAATCAGGGCACAATCAATACAATTTTTAAATGCAAGACTCCCCTGCTATTCCACTTTAGACGCATAAGCTTAAATTTTCTAGTATCTTTTTGTTCGAACAAAAACGAGCAACACTGCCAGCAAAACAACTACAAATAACACAAATTACGGGTCCTACATTGTCAGGTTCAAAAGCTGCATGCTTGTAGCTCCTCCTTCTAAAAATAAAATGCAATAAAAGTGTAATAAAGATCTAAAATAACAGTATCTGTACTCAATTATAGTATTAACATCATACTCTACAACTGTATTTTCAAAACTATTGCAAATCAGAGGATATTCTGAATCGCAGATTGCTTACAATAATGGTAATTCATGACATAAACAACACTCAGTACTTATACTATGCTCAGTGTTTCAACTGGCAGTGATGGCTCTAAAGTAAGCACACCAAGTTGTAGCTCAAAGCATTGGTGTCGCTCATTGGTATAGATAATTTGCAACATTAATGCCCTTTCAGCGATCTGCTTTTCATTAAAAGACCCGCAACCATGATTTATCTACAGAAAGGCACGATTTATTTACAAGTCAAAATGATTAATCAGAATTTCTCAGCAGACATGTATGAGCCATACAGTGTTCAAAAGTTGGAATAGGCTGAGGGACCTGTTTTTTTTCCACTTTACGTCGGAATATGCTAATTTTTCCAAGCCATATAATGTTTTATTTTACTAACAAGTTCTAACAATGGATTAAAGGGTGTCCTAGTTAACCTTTCCAATGTGATTTGTATAAACTGACCCTTTAAATCCGGATTTTCCAGAATCAAAAATGACAGGTTGGAAGAAACAGAGAAGATCCTTTTCCTGGGAAATCCGGTCTCATTTAAACACAGACCGCAGTCCTGTTACAGTTAAGGCATGTGGTCCTTCTGGTCTGATTTATCACAAAGCTATTGACAATGAGGACAAACCTGAGTCTGGACTTGCTGCAGTCTCCCAAGCAATTCTTTAACCTGCTTCTGTGTTTCCCCCAGTTTAGCCTTCAGCTGTAGTGAAAAGAAAAAAGTTTAAAGTATACACAAAAATCTACAAAGTGAGTAAAAAAAAAAATTCATTAAGCTCACCAGTGCCCAGATGTGACCTATAGACACAATAATAAAATTCAAGAGAGCTGAAACTATGCAGAAATATATAACACTGCCACTCCTCACTATACAAAAAGAAATGCTAAGCTGCTTCAGCACGATATTATGAGGGGCTGTTATATGACTTTACATTAAAATTCATATCCGCTAATTGAACTTCCTGCTACTTCTGAAGTATGAAAGTGACAACATACACATGGAAAGAAATGTACTTGTGAGTTTGCTCGTATAAAAGCATGCAAGGGGCAGAGGTGGCCAAAACTAGGATGCCCTTAGATGTGTTCAATGGTTTTCCAACACAGAAGAAAGTCTGTCGTTATCCAGTTTGGTATCGACAGCATAGGATGTAGCCTGGCAGTTTAAGATTGAAAAAAAAGAATGTCTTTCCAAAATGAGGATGTAACGGCTTTTAAAAGGATTCATCTCAATCAGAGATCAAGATCACCCCCGCATTCTTCATTTCAGATCACAGCTCAAGCACACAAACATTAATTGACGAGACTTAAGTACTGGTTTGATGCAACTGATGGGAGGAACCCAATAATATCACCCGATTCATCACAATTAAAAACCAAATATGTTATGTCCTCCACACGTTTGTATGAGAAATGCAATTGGCGAGCACTGAAATAGCTACCTTGGACTTCAGGTTAGTGTGGACATAGACCCTCATATCACCTACATGGAAAATGATCATTCAGAACGTGTCATTTCAGACCAGGAGGTAATAACCACCAAAGAGCAGACGCCCCACTGCTGATGTCCTGTGAAACACCAGACGTCCACAAGACAACCGCAGAACTGAAACAACTAACAAATACAATTCCAACATGCAGCATCGTGAGACAATAACACTCTCCCTTTCGTCAGGGGCCAGAGTCCTGGCGGGGAAGGAGTTAAAGGAGAGAAGGAAGGCTCTAGCAAATTTCTGCAAAAAAACATACTTGTGGGCCCATCCGAGTTCCATTTTCCTCCCAGTAATTTTAAAATGTACGCAACAGTATCGAGACTGGCAGAAAATAAAAATGTCAAAAATGTTCTTTAATCTACAAGCTCACTTATTCGCTTATATCAAGTTCCACATTTAAAAGAAAAAAACCACTAACTCGTGTATCAAAACAAATCGGCTGCACTGACTAAGGTCTGGGGTTAATGAAAGATGCATTTTAAACTGAGAAAAATGTGTATATAAGTCTAACACATCTATAAGACCATGGTCTGTTTTTTATGCCGTTTGTGCTGTGTAGGCTTTCTTGGTGTTACATGAACACTGAGAATGGTCTGCCATTCAATGGCACTCGACTGAATTCTATTGTGGGTGACTGTCGCTCATTCAGAAAATCCCTCTGACGTGGCAGGGCATCACTTCCATGTCAGGAACCCATGTGCGTGCTGGATGGTGTATAAAAAGGTATTCACTACACTGAAAGCCACGCAATGCCTTAGAATCTAGTGATAAGGTGACATACGTCATTGTAAGTGGCCTCCTTTTTCTTCCCCTCTTCAGTGAGGAATTCTTCATACAAGTCCATAGACTCTTTAAGCCTGTCTGGTGAGAACAGCGTGCTGGATATCTCTTGAAGAACACAAAACACAAGAACAGTATTATTCATTGTCTAAGGGTGACTGAATGTGGATGTGCACAATACGAATACGGTAGGGTCTAACTACTTATTTCAAGGCTCACCTGCACTTGCAGCATTATTGGGACTTTTTTCACCGTCCAGCCCCGAGTAGATATCCACCGAATTGTCATCGTAGACTAAAGGCGAATCTGAAACGTATGTATGAAACAAGTATTCATTAGTACTTTTCACACCATTTCATTACATTCAGCCATGCATCCTTTTTTCTAACTCCTTTATCCAAGATCAGTGTCACGGGGGAGCCGGAGCCTATCCCGGCAAGCAACGGGCGCAAGGCAGGGTACACCCTGGGTGGGACGCCAGTCTGTCACAGGGCAGACACAGACACAAACACACTCACTCCAGGGCCAATTTTCCTGCAAGCCAATTAACCTGAAAGGATGTGGACTGTAGGAGGCAACCTACAGCATACGAGCTCCACACGGACAGCGCCCCAGGAATTGAACCCAGGGCTCCAGCGCTGTGAGGCAGCAATGCTGACCACAGCACCACCACGCCACCCTCATTACATTCATGTCAACATCAGAAATAAGGAAACCAAGCTGACCTTAGGACCCACTCGATTTCTAAAAGCAAGAAAACCGACCGCGGCATATACCCAACACGAAAAATGCTCACCAGAATGACCCTGGCTGAAATCGCCGTACAGTTCATCACAGAAATCGCCTTCCGCTTCCATATCGCTTCTGTATTCCGAAACTCACATATAAATGCACTTGGAACCTTAAAAACACATACAAGTCTGTTATTAGCAATGTGAAAAGTTAGAGATCAGTGGAGCATCAATGGCATGACCTGAGCACGCAAACACAGGACACAGTGTAAGATGCGTGTTCACAAAGCACATTCTATCAAGCTGTAGGTCTATATATGCCACTGTCGGTGCTGATTTTATCTCCATTGTCTTTTTCCATCGTTTAACCTTGTACTTGTTGCACAATGTACCAGCTACAAACAACTGCATTGTTTCACCTGATCCTCAGAATAAAGAGCTTGCGAATTAGCAGAGAGAAATTGCAATGGGAAAGGACTAGACTTCTCAAAACTGCTGGAGACATCTTGAACAGGGAAAGGAGCAGAGACAAAAACTTAACTGTTGCCCCCGGGTTAACCTTTTACTGCAATGCACTGACAAAAAGGACTTCACTTCACTGTTAAAAGTCTTTGGTAAATCCCATCACACCCTTCACTATAACAGCTAGATAATGATGTTATAAATCACACATCAGAGTAAGGAAAGCTGGGGCTGGAAAGCACAGCTGACACCGACGATTCCTGTGTTTAAATTCAACGACACAACCGCAAACAGCAGATTTGATCATCACAGGACAGCTTTTTATTGTGATTAAGAGACGGGATTTTGTATGTGACAGATGTGGATACTGTCAGCTCTTCCAAGCAGAGAACAGCCGCTGTTTGAGTGCATGTTAAGACACAGACAAGATAATACAGCAAAACACCCTCGTTCAGCTGTCAGGGGAAATGCGAAGTCTGATACTCTTAAAGACAGAACACCTATCAGTCGCTAAGAGGCAAAAAAACAAATGGCAATACATAAAAGCTGTACGTAAAACTCGTGCTCAAACGAGTCTGGATATTCAGCAAGCACATTTTGCCGGCAGCTACACAACACAAACTGGACCGGCGACAGGGTTATTGAGCACTTGTTTTTATCATTATTTTGCGTTTACAGATGATCAGTAGAGCTTTTTTTCACCTAATACTTTCTCAGGGGTTAGCTGCTGCTTCATACAATCGCTGAGTGATAGGCGATAACGTTATGCATCTGTTGCTATTTAAAATGAGGCCTCGAAAACGACGCCTGGTCTGCTGAAAAAGATGTTAGGCATTCCCCCGTCTACTTTTCATAACCAGGAATTCTTAGAAAAACACGCACACATTACTGGAAAATTCATCACGGCCTTACCAATTCCAAGTGTCCAGTACCCTACAGACGTTGTTTTGCGCTCCCCTACAGCTGCAGTCGCGCCAATCCAGCCACCCTCACGAAACAGGAAATAACGACATTTTCCCGCGGTCTGCCTCGCACAGAAACACCGCCCCCTTCCGGTCGGAGTGGGCCGGGTTACTGTCAGGCACGGGGCGCCTGAAGCAGGTGACTCTCCTAGCAACAGCGATGGGCTTGTAGGTCGAAGGAAAGCTATAATAAACCAGGCACAGAAGGAGTCACCCTCTCTCACGTTTTGGATTCATAAGTATGCCGACCAGTACAATCCCGAGATGACTGAAGTTATTATTAACTATTATTTTTTATTTCCCGTATGTAACTGAAAAATAAAGTTATCTATTTTTTTCAAAGCTTGTCGGCAATCGCTACAGTTTCTAAGGACACGAAGCTCACCGTCTGAATAAAATCGATATGTTGCAGCGAAAGCGGCTGATTACTTGATTATTGTTGCTGAGAATAGTAATTATCGTTGTTGGAATCCCCATCAAACATTTATGAGGCCATACAATTAAAAATATGAATGGTAACTACTTGAGAACACATATTTCTACTGTATTCCGTAACTGCAATTGTAAGTCTGTGTAAATATACTGTATATAGTTCAAGTACGTATCTCCGTCAGCATGCGTAGGCTGCAAAGATGAAAGTAAAGGTTTATTCCATGCTGAAAAGGGAAGAAAAGCGGTGTTTCTTTTCTTCACTTTGGTCATTAAATAAACCTTTACTTGTTAATTTACTGATTATATACTAGCTATATATCAATACAAGACGTACTGCTCGGAGACACTTTAAATGATTATAGGAAACAAACATTTCTCGTATGTCACATAACACTGACTTTACACCAGAAACACAAACATGCAAAAACCACACTGCAATCCTCTTATTGGGTAGAGATACTTCTTGACCCGGAAATACTACTAAAATACCCACGTGTGGACTGCCTGTGATAACTGAGGCGAACATGCTTAGTGAAGCCATCTAAGGAAAGCAAGTAATGACATAGCTACCCCTGTTGTAGGAAAAGAAATATCATTGGATACTATAATATATTACATTTAAAGCTTTCGGGAGACACAAAAGAAAGGAAACGCAAATGATACCATGGAGAATTTAGAGCTGAGTCTGTCATCACTTGGTATCATCTCGAAACACGTTGAAAAAAGCAGCAGCGATTTCGGCACGTACTTGGCAAAGCAGGTAAGATCTGCTTTAATTTAAGGACAGAAAACACGAAGGGGGCTTAGTGTAACTTGGTCACATATGAAAAATTAGAATCCGATCCACTTTCGTGTCCGTGAAGTCTAGATAACTAAGTGGAGGTCTAACCTATTTCACTGTACATACCGTAAATAAATATAAATATCTCGTGATTAAACGCATTTAAATTGTTAAACTGTTCTTTGTCAGTCTGACAGGCACTATAGACAATTTAGGAATGAATGTTTTAGTGTCTTACTGTATAAAAACCTGCATTTATAACATTTTATTCTGTCTTATCTGTGTACATGTCTAATATTAGAAGTTGTTTGTACAATTGAAATACACGATTGGGTTAATGAAGAAAACAATCTGTTCTCTACTCTTGTATTCTTTTACATCACGCATTTCCCCATTAATTTATTATAGAAGCGAGATATTAAACTGCGTGAAATCGCTTCATCTTTGACACACTGTAAATGTACAGTATACTGTTTAAAAGGTGCATGCCACATGGACAGGGAATGTAGATCAATAGATGAATGGAAAAATAAACAGGATTACCACCCACAACTGTATGTGGTGGTAGGTGTGCAATTACTTTGGGCTTTCTGATGTCTCAGTCTTGGATAGGAAAAAGCTTGAACTGTAGCCTTTTCTTTTACTGTAGGGTCTGATTAGTTTGCTGGTTTTGTATTTATATTTTAAAAACAAACCATGCTATAATGTCAAATTGTCAAAACATATGAAGGTCCCGCTTTTTATCTAATGTTTTATTGTTTTCAAGTTTATGTGTTCACTGTCCATGTGGCATGCACCTTTTAGACAGTATACTGTACATTTACAGTGGGTCAAAGATGAAGAGATGTCATGGTTTAATATCTTACTTGTGTGATAAATTATTGGGTAATGTGTGATCTAAAAGGCTACAACAACAGTAGAAATGGGGTTATTTTCTTCATTGACCCAATCTATTATGTCAGTTTAAAGCCAATAGAGAATATGGGGTGTGTGGTTGTAGAAACTAGCCCTCAGACATTTGAAAAGCTTTAAAATAGCAGGGGTGGTTTTGGATCAAGCGGACTAACCATTGTGCACAAACGCCGCTGTGTTTGTTTTGTGTTTTGCCGCCTGTGAAAGGTCTGGAGTCGACAGGACCGCCAGTGCATCCTCGGCTGCCTAGCTCAGTTACTGCTCGACAAAGAATACACCCTTCTCATCGGACGGCACCTGCGGCCCCTGGTTTTGGAGCTGCTAGAAAGGAACGCAGAGAAAATCAAAGCAGATGGTCGGATCAACCATGATTTGCACGAAAGGCTGTGTGTGGCCCTCGGCAAACTCCTGCATATCAGTCCCGATGCTCTGCCGTGAGTAACTCCTATCAGAGAATTTCCCATTTCCAAATAACGGGAAGAAGTTGGCTTGAGTGAAAGTGATGCTTTGTGGGAAATACAAAAAAACAAACAACAACTTTTATTTCATTTCGACTTCCAGCTTTGCCTTGCGATATTTTGAGGAGGCGCCACCCGTGTTTCAGAGGCTGTTTTTTACCAGCGCGGAATCTGGCGCGGTCTCGTATGGACCCAAGCGCATGAAGCTGCGGGACCTGATGGGTGCCACCCTCAAGTTCCTGAAGAGCGACTGTGCCAAGTTCAGAGAGCTGTGGAACTGGAGTGTCTGCGTCTCACAGCTCCGGACCAGCGATGTCATGGTTAAATGGTCTGTGCTGTGTTTTTAAACCTGTTCTGCTACCTGATGACATCTTATCAAGTATTGTCAGAAACATCTTGCATCCAGTAATTCCATTCGTAAAAACGCTACAGTGATTGCTTGATTTCAGGTTTTTGCAGTCCTTTTATGTTCCTCCATGAGCCACCACCCGATTAGCTTTGTAGGTCAACCAATATCACCTATTTCTAAAGGCTGGGCGTACTTGTATATTACTTCTTTGACGTCTTGTGTGATTTATTTTAAGGAACTTGTATCCTTGAGGGATAGATAAGCCAAGTATTGTGATTTTTGTTCCAAACCATCTCGAAAGATGGTGGGACGGTATTGCTGCCTCACTGCGTTAGGGCCCTGGTTTAGTTCTTGGGGTGCTCTCTGGGTGTAGGTTGTATGTTCTCCCTTTGTTCACATGGGTTTCCTCTGGGTGCTCCAGTTTCCTCCCACGGTCCGAACACACATTAATTAGAGATAATTGGCCCTGGTGTGAGTCTGTGCGTGTGTGTGTGTGTGTATGCCCTGTGATGGACTGGCGTTTGCCAAGGTTAAGCACTTAGAAAATGGATGGATGATCTCTAAATGACTTGATTGAAGTAATCATCTGTATAAACAGTCACAAATTATTTCAAGTCTTTCTAAATTGATTAATAGTTACCTACGAGATCTGTCATAGAACTCTCCAGGATCGGGGTGGAAAATTTTTGTTTGCAGAAATCATTTCTATGTGTGAGTCATGCATGTAGAAAGGTGAGCACACACACTGCTGTGACGGATGCATTTCCTTCACCATGCTGGTGGTGTTTAATCCATCTTTTGTGATATTTAAGTGCAGTGAACAAATATACTTTTAGTGTAGGTCTCAATGTGTATATAAAAAAAGTCAAGAGTACTAGTTGTGTGAAACACGGTTGCAATCTTCTTTCTGTTGTTTTTCAGGTATACCGCACACTGTTTGGCCATGGT